AGTGAATTTTTGGCTCCAATAGTGAATTTATTCCTCCATATCCAGCTGGTAAGTATGATCTTGTCACTTTTGCAATATCAGAAAATGCATCAGGCATTGAGTCTGCTACATTTTGTAGGTCTATTATTCTTTTCACTTCACTTTCACAGTGTGAGGTGCGGGGATCAAAATGAGACAGTGTAGGAACACACCAGGATAATTTTTCGTTCTTTTGAAAAATCCTTTTTCTTATCTCCCCTAATGACGGGAATGTTGTCTCATCAAATTGACAATCCGCAAATCATACCAGTTCAGACTAAACTTTTAAAGTTATAAAATACATAGAGACCAGACATTTACCAAATTAAACCCATTCAGACCAGACCAACAAATTTCAGTCCAAATAAAAAAAATTTGTTTTGTAATTAATCTCTTTTATATCCAGATTATTAGTCTCATTTTTTTGTTTTGAAAACTCGTCTGTATTATATCTGTCATTCTGGTAACAAGAATGATATACTACGTACTTCATATGATAAGATGGTACAATTAGAATGAACCGAAACACCAAAATTATTAACGTTTTTCAGACAGCTAATTATATTTGATTTAGTCAAACTTTACGTCTTCAATCTTCACTTAAACTAGTATTATAGCCGTGCAATGCACGGAAAATATATTTCTCATATGAAAAAAGTAAATTCTTGAATGATACAAATAATATATTTAATTAACAATTTGGCATATGAGAATTTAATTTTCATAATGTAATAATATCAACTTTAATATAACCGGTAACAAAAAAGGGAAATATTTCAAGATTATATATCAATTCTTTTTTTGCATAAAAATAATCTAATATTTGGAGTTCAGAAATATTTGGTACTATTAATATTTACGCATTACTTGAATATAGTATATCATATTACCATCATCATGAGTATCAAGTTCACAAAAACTAATTATAAAAAACGTAATGGTAACATATCTATTTCGAAAGATAATTTAAACACAAAACATTTATGGCCAATTCATGCATACATAGTGCGAGAATAACTTTTATATAAAGTTCAAGGTATATATTACGGTGTCCTGTTCCTGTTCAGACGGCCTGACAGGAACCGATGTCCAGCCGAGGACATTTGGGGTCCTTCCCGGTGAAATTTTTCGATTAAATTTTTGAGCATGTTCTCGTCAGACCTGCTGGACATTCAAATTTGTCATATATTACACATGCAAGTTTGGAAAACTAATCGTACACCTTATTAAAGTTTGAGATATTGAAATTATTTTCCCTATTTGTATTACTCATTTCTTAAAAATATTTAAAAAAAAACATTACACACCCAATAAACCAAGCCGTAGCCCAAAAGCATCTATTAACTGCCCAAATATCCAAAAGCCCAGAACCCAAAATATAAAAATTTTGACCAACATGTCATCCTATCTACATCGAATTGGCGTGTAACCTCCCCAGACTCGCATCTCGGCTCACGCTCGATCTCACCGCGAAGGGCTATTCGCCTTTAACCTCACACCCCTCAACCTCCTCAATCGTCTCTAAGGAAGTTAACCCTCACCACAGATCGGCGAGCAGTTTCTTCCCCCTCGATCGTCGCCGGGCAGCTTCTCCGTCATCAATTGTCGCTCAGCGCTGTCACCTTCGATCATGTGTCACCATCTTCACACAATTCACAAATAATTACTTCTAAGGTCCTCACCCAATTGGTAATTTCCGTTAGTGTTTTTATTTAAATACGAACTTAGTATAAATCATTCATTAAATCAATCCAAAATACAATATGTCGTTAATTCAAAATTGAAAAATCAAACCAATGAAATGGCTTTTCACAATTTGAGATCAATGTATGCGCTAAATTGCCAGGTCATGTTTCAGTTAATTTTTCTTTCGTCTCGGTAATGTAGTGTTCATTAAACTGCTGAATTTATCCGGTTGGTTTTTGCATATGACAACTATTTTTTTCTATTCAATACACCACCTGATATATGTAATTATCATTCCAAAACAAATGTCTATTTAATCATAAGTAAAAGAAAAATCATGATTAATTTAAGACCTCGTACTATAATCACATCACTCTTTTAAAATAGTTCATTAATGTGTTTCTAAAAATCTTAAAACACAATACATTTGCAATAGATTGAAATCAGTGAATTTACTATGTCAGCAAATATACTCTCTTCTCCTTACATCTATAAATATATAAAAACAAAATAGTCTGGAGCCAAATTTTGGGCGGGAAGTCTCAAAGCAAATTGCAGGAATCAAATTTGGAGGATAAAAACTGGGTGTGTGTGACTTCTCGAGTCCCGAAGCACAAACTATTGGTAAGTACTCTGTAAGATCAATTATGTGAGTGGCTTTTAGAATTCCCAATAAAACATTATTTTTACAAAAGCCGATAGTAATGAATAAGAACATTGTTCAAAGTGACTTTTGAAATTTATAATAATAAATATATGTTGTCTTTATTGTGCAGAGGACCTTATATATCGCAATCAGCCCTCATCAAGCTAATCGAGACATGGGATATTTGACGTGTCAATTCCCATCGAGTAAGAAGACTGCAATGAGCCCTCATGAAGCTAATCTAGATATGAAATGCAAGACGTGTCAGTTGCCATCATCAAATAAGTGATCTAATATAGAGAGAAAGTATTTTAGAAAATTGTGATGGTAATATCTTTTGCTTCACTATTTTTAATTTTTAGTGGTATTCATTATCGAGATCATCTACTTATTATAAGCTTCTGAAATTATCACCAAAGTTTATTCCTCTTTATTTATGATAAGCTTCTGAAATTGTCACCAAAGTTTATTCCTCTTTATTTGCTAGCTCCTTTATCCTCTCTCTTTTTGTTAGATTTCATCGTTAGTTTATATGGTTTTAGCAGATTAACCGGATCTAGAAAATCAATCCAAGGGGTAACATGCTTGGAAAAATAATATTGTGTGATTTATTCTATAAATATTTGGCATCGAAAGATCATTTGTTCAACTATAATCACAAGGCGCCTTCAAAAAAATACTATAATCTCAATGCAATAATTTCTATTTTCTACAACTAATGGTATTGAGTTGTTAGTATTTCTGATATTAATAATTTCCAAAATATATTTGATACTCATGAGTATTATTATCAATTTCTTAAAAGCTTTAATGATGTAATACTCCGTACTAATTTATTCAAATGGAAACAGAGGTTCAAATTTATTCAAAATTGCCAAGCATGAGTATTATATGCGAGATCTCATCAGTGAAAACAAGAAAGTGCTATTGTGAATGAGAAGGTTTGGGGTGCAATCGACCTTTGTGTGACTGGAAGTAGTAAATTCTTTGTGAATGTGGGAGAAGAGATAGGAAAAAGGGAAGTGAGAATCATAGGGGCGAATGCTTGAGACTCTACAAGGAGAGAAGGTGATTGAGAGTTCATTTGATAATATTAAAATTAATTGAATTAGTGTAGGAATATTTCAAACAAGAATTGTTTCACTTGATTGATATGAAGACTAGCTATTTGATAGGTTGGAAATTAAAAAAATTGAAATCTGAAATCACTTTGATTTTATTGTGTGGGGAGCAGGTGATTGAGAGCTCATTTAATAACATTGAAATTAATTGAATTAGCTGAATATGTTGAAATTAATGAAATTTAGACTACACCAATTAAACTGGTATTTGTAAAATTATGATAAATGTGAGATGTCAAAAATATACTTTGTGAAAAATTAGTATTACCGTGCATCGCACAGGTACTATACTAGTTTTCAATTAATAGGTCTTAATTTGTTAAAATTTCATATCATGTTTGGAAGAGCATTTGAAAACTACACATGAGAGTGCATAATAGGTCATGTTTTCTCTTCATATACTTTTTAAAGGTGTTATCAACCTTTATGTTTTGTTTGTGACTTGAGTAACTATTTTATACGGAGCATAAAACTTCTATCTCATATTGCTAAGGTTTCATATTTACAAATAGACTGCTAAAATCTTTGATGAATACTATTTTATTTAAACTGCAAAATAGGCATGGGATCGGTTCGGTTCTTACTCAAAATTGGTGGAATCGTTACAAAAAATTTCACTAATAAAATTGGTTCGCTTCTTATGTAAAAAATCAAGAACCGTTTTGGAACCGAACCAATACTAAACGGTTCGGTTCTTACTTTTATCGGTTCCTCAAATAATTTTTTTCCTCATCTAATAAATGAGCACATTATTTGCTTTCTACCACATAACAATGTAAAAAATATCAAACACAAGTATTAAAATTTTATTTAAAATTCTAATAAATTCAAACATAATAGCTCAAACTTAACTAAGTGAACACTTAATAGAATAAAAGAAAGTTTCAATTTCCGTTTAATAAGTAGAACATAAAAATCTTAGTTATGTGGTAACAACAAAGGTTGTTCATCATCACAGTTGCAAGATATGACGTCCACTTCAAGTTTTTCAAAACAAAAAAAATACATTGAGTTTACATGTATAGTTATAGAAGCATCATTACAGTCTATTTGCTAGTAGTACAATTTACAATAAATCTAATAGTTATGAACATCATGAAGATAGTAAAGCAAAATATATGCAATCAACTACAAGTTTTTTGAGTTATTTATTATTTATAAAATATATGTGATTTAACAAAACTTGATTTTGTAAAAGTGAGCTTAACGTATTCAATCTCATGTGCAATATTGATTACTTTTGTTTTCGTTGGTTAAATTAGAATTGTTGGCTAAATATCATTGATTGTAGTATTATTGTTATTACTATCACTACTACTATTACTATTTTTAGTTTTATTTTTTAATAACGGGAAGTGTGAAAAGGCTTGGCCTAATTTAGATTAGTTCTCAAGGAAAACGGTGGAATAATGATGGAAAATATTGATTAGTGAAATATTGGCACAACATACTAAAACACTAAAGCATTTAATATTGATTAGTAATAAATACACACACCGCTCGAAGTAACTTTTAGAATTCTAATAGTAGACCCTTGAAATAATGCTTCTTTAATTGCAGAAGACAACTTGCACAAAATACTAAAAGTTATCCGTATAATGAGTAGTATTCCGTAATAAATAGAGAGTAACTTTTTGAATTTCCAAGTGTATACAATAATGGACACTCTTAGAACCCAACAAAAACACACTTTTTACAAATGGGAATTATACTCCATAGTAAATGGGAGCGATGTTCAAAATGACTCTTGAAATTACCAATAATATATATTTATTGTCATAGTGCAGGATAGGACTATATATATAGTGTATATACGAGCAAAGATCACACGGAACCCTCATCGAGCTACTCCAAGCTACTTCAATATGTGAAACCTGTTAATGTGTCATGATTAAGTAAGTGATCTGAAATGCCATGATCGTATCCAAGAACTGTATGTTTAAAAATAGGTACGTATTTGTAATATCAAGAAAAGTTTTCCTTTAGATCTTAAAGAATATAATACTTCGTACTTTAAGTCTTTAACAATGCAAATGGATGCAGTGGTATTAGTTTACCAAAGAGTTTCTCCAAATGTAAATTTTGAAAAAGACAATCACGGTAAATATATCGTTATCTACCTAAGTTAGGCTTTAAAATGCTCTGAAGATGAATTTGTTGTGGATTAATAATAAACTAATACTACTTCTTGATACTCAAATCTCTAAAAAAATAGAAATATATGTTAAGATAATTTTACCTTATGCTCATTTGACTTGACCAAACTCTATTTTGTATGTTCATGAGTCATCTCCCCAGAAACAAAAAATGAATATTTAGAGTTTTGACGATATTACGTCAATGATCCTTTTCTTTACCATGTGTATAACTTCAATAGTTTTGATTGTTAAGTGCACAAATACTAGATGAGACTACTTATTGGTGAGTTCACAATATTGCGTTTTAAAGTATTTGTTTCGTGATTTCAGATTACACCGGCAATTAATTTTGATGTACATTCAGTTGTCACCGTGAGTTCATAATTTACGAGAAATCTCTATTAGGTCAATTATATTTATGACAAAAGCTCTATTAGGAAGTGAATATTATTTCTCAACTAAATCACTGTTTGAGCCACTGTAAACACACAACTAAATGTTTCAACTTTATGAGTCTCTACTTTTGAGAGGTATTGTTTTGATTTTTGGTCAATGTTTGTGATGGAGTATATGGCCCGGGAACCCCCGGTCCACAGACTCTTACTACTCCAGCGAAGGCCCAACAGGCCCAACAGGCCCAGATCACAGCGCCCAGAGTACCAAGCAGTCCGCACAACGGGCCAGGGGTGCCTTCGCCCCCCTGGCCGAAGGCTCCAAATTCTCACAGAACGGGTTTCTCAAGCAAATTAAGAAACTGGGAGAAAACGGCGAAAACAGTAGCCCTCGGCAATGTGAGCCCTCGGCACCAGGGTGCCATCGGGTGGAGGAGCCCTCGGCTACTGCTCTATAGCCGAAGGCATCTCACTCGACAAGATATCCGCCTCACATGCGTACAGATCACCGTACCCCGCACAGACGTCCCATCCAACAGCCGCATTAAATGCGGCCACATGCGGCTGCCAGCGCCAACCAGTTGAGGTGACCCCTCGGCCAATGAGCGCTTGACACGTGTCCCTGCCCGGCATTTATTGCTACTATAAATAGCACCCCATTTCCCCATTTGTAACCACGCTGAAAACGGCATTCATACTGAATACACTCTCTCTCTACTTTTACTTACTTGCTCTGACTTCTCTCTAAGTTATTCCCCGTAATAACCCTTCGGATATATACCCCCGGGTAGACTATCCATCATTTGGTGCTCTCGTTGAGAGGTTGAACAATCGAGTAAGAAACCCTCCCCCTCGACCAAACACAAAACACTAGCCCTCTATCAAAATGGTGAGGACAACACGTGCCAACTCAAAGAACGTAGAAGACAAGAACCTGGCCCTCGGCGACGTCAACGCCCCCGAAGCCTCTCACAGGGCTCCCGAGGGCGGTGTCATCGCTGGGCTGGAACAGGCGACTGTCGACCTACGCCTTCAGATCCAACAAAATGCCCCCGATGCCCGCCTCGGCATCGAGGCCAAGAAGAAAAACCGGAGCGATGACCAAGTCAGCCCTCCGGTTCTCACCATCGACGTGCAATCGGCGCTCTCCGCCTTCATCCAGACGCTCACCCAGAACCCGGGTGCCTTCGGCACCCTGGCTCCAGCTCACCCTCAGATCGGGGAAAATATCATACTTCCCCCTCTGCCACACCCCTTCGGAAATCCCACCCCTCGGGTGAGAAACGACGAAGGGGTGGTGGCCCAAGATACGTCCTCCCAGGAAGTTCAGTCCCGGGACCGCCATAATGACAACAGGGAAAGGTCCCGTACTTCCGCCCTCAACCGGCTCGGAGGAGGGCCAGACCGCTGAGGGGTCCAAGACCGCCTCGGGGGAAAGCACTCCAAAGGCCCCAGGAAAGCGGGGGATCTGTTTCGAGGGCAGACGAGGAGCGTCCCCCTCGGGACAAAGGCAAGGCACCCCTTCATGCCGATGATGCTCGGCACCAAATCAACCAGACCCACTCGGCCCGGGTTCGTTCGCAGGGGGCGGAGACCCTCCCGAAGGATCCCCGGGACGAGATTATTGCGACCCTCCAACGCCGGCTTGACGAGATGGAGTCCAACAAAGCTCACGCCACCACCTCCACCCCTCATTCAGATCTCAAATATGAGGCCATGATGGCCAAAATGGAGGAGTTACAGAAGAGGGTGGCCGAGGGCTCCGGGGAACCCGTCATCCAGCTCCGGACTCGGACGCCATTTACCCCAAGGGTATTGGCGGCCCGGATCCCGGAAAAATACCGAGGGCAACACATACAGCCCTACAACGGGAAAACGGAATCCCAGGAACACTACAGCAAATACCAGAACAGCATGATGATGGTGGGGGCGTCAGACGAATATTTGTGTCGATGGTTCCTCTCCACCTTAGAGGGACCGGCATACGAATGGTTCAACAGGCTGCCCGAGGGCTGCATTGATTCGTGGCAAGAACTCGCCCATTGATTCTTGACACAATTCGCCGGGAGGCGTCGCACAAGGAAGCACTTCTCCCACCTCCTAACAATACGCCAGAAGAAGGATGAGACCCTCCGGGATTTCCTGGAGCGCTGGAGGACGGAGGCCGACAAGGTCGACGGTGCTGATGACGGGACCCTCCTGGCCCTCCTACAAACCGTCCTCCGCACCGGTAACTTTTCAAGGAGCCTCATCATTGAACCCCCCGCGACTACATAAGGGCTTTGCAGCGGGGGGACCGATATGCTGAGGCCGAGGAGGTGGAGAAGTATCACCAGCATCCGGACCAGCAGCCCCCGAGGGCTGACAACAAGCATAACCGGGGGCCGGGGGCTCCTCCAAATCACCCCAAGGCTTCGGGACCCTCTGATGACCGCCCTCGGCAAGGCCAAGCCAAGCCCGGGGGAGGTTATAAGAGCAACCTTAAGACTTGGGCCCAGCCCATTCTCCTGGACCGCCCTCGGACACCATTGACGCACCCCGTCAGCATCATCCTCGATTTTGCCGAGGAGAGGGGCCTCGTTGAGCGCGACTCTCGCGCACCCCCGGAGGTACACGCTATCAACCCTCAGTTCCCCTACTGTCGCTTCCATCGGCACCAGGGGCACAGGACCGATGACTGCCATCAGCTGAAGACGGCCATCGAGAGATTAATACAGGCGGGGCACCTGTCCCAATTTGTCCAGAGCCCTCGGCAGGAGGGGCCTTCTCATCAGGGACCTCCCCGAGGGCACCATACGAAGGTAAATGCTTGGGTAAACCCGAATACCATCCCCCTCGGCAAGAAGAGGGAGATTGGAAACTTGGAAGAAGAGGAGGAGGAATACCCCCACTACCTGGAGAAAAAACGCCACATCCTCATGATCACCGGTGGCAATACAGGGGGCGATTCCACCAGCCAACGAAAGAAGTGGGCTCAATCGCTTTACGTGGGGGAAGTCACTCATATGCCCCCGGTAAAGCGACTGAGGGAGGAACCCATCACCTTCACCAACGCGGATCTCCCTCCTACTTCTTCTCCTCACAGGGATGCCTTGGTGATTCGGACGGAGATAAACGACACCATTATTCACCGAACTTACATTGACACGGGCAGCTCCGTCAATGTAATGTACCTCAGCACCTTCAGAGAGCTGCATCTGGAGAGGGGGTCCCTTCGGCCCATTAAGACCCCTCTTGCCGGCTTCACCGGCGATACTATTGATTCCGAGGGGGTAATAACCCTCCCGGTGATCTTCGGCGACGGGCTCCATAGAGCCCAGCTCGAGGTGGAGTTCGTCGTCGTCAACATTGACTGCGCCCACAACATCATCCTCGGCCGGCCAGCCCTCGAGGACCTCGAAGCCATCATTTCCATGAGGCACCTTTGCCTCAAATTCCCCGCCGAGGGGGGCATTGGCTACTCCCGGGGGAACCAGAAAATTGCCCGTGCCTGCTATCTTCAGGTCACTAAGAAGGTAAGCAAGACGGAATTCCGTGTTGACACCATCACCGGAACCATCGACCAAGAGGAGAGAAGGCCGAGGGCTGAACCGGCCGAGGACGTAGAAGACTTTGCGCTCGATCTGGCCCAGTCGGAGAAAGTCGTGAAGATTGGAGCCCAGCTCCCTGAAGATTTGAAGACCGGTATCACCGATGCCCTCCGCGCCTACTCCACTGTCTTTGCATGGGGGCCGGAGGACATGCCGGGAATCAGCCGAAGGGTCATCACCCACCGCCTCTCGGTGGACCCTTCGGCAAAGGCAGTGCAACAACGAAGAAGACCCCTCTCCGCCGAGAGAAGGGAATTTGTGAAGAAGGAGGTCGCCATGCTCCTCTCCATTAAGCACATCAAGGAGGTGAAATATCCCTCATGGCTGGCGAATGTAGTCCTCGCGCAGAAGCCCCCTACCTTCCGCATGTGCGTGGACTACACCGATCTCAACAAAGCATGCCCTATGGATCCATTCCCTCTACCAAACATTGATCAATTGGTGGATGAGACCGCAGGGTGTGAGATCATGTCCTTCCTCGATGCCTTCCGAGGGTACCATCAAATTTTCATGCACGAGGAGGACGCCGAAAAAACTGCCTTCATGACTCCCGAGGGCATCTTCTGCTACCTAGTGATGGCCTTCGGCCTAAAGAACTCGGGGGCCACTTACACCCGGATGGTGGCCCGGGTCTTTCAAGCCGTCCTGGGGCGCACCATGGAGGCCTATGTTGACGACATCATCGTCAAGAGCAAACAATCTTCCAGCCATGCTGACGACCTCCGGGAAATCTTTGCCATCATGCAAAAATTCAACCTTCGGCTAAACCCGAAGAAGTGCACCTTCGGCGTCCAAGGGGGCAAATTCTTGGGCTACATGGTGAGCCGAAGGGGTATTGAGGCCAATCCCGAGAAGATCCAGGCCATCATCAACATGGAGCCCCCACGCAATGTGAAGGAAGTCCAACGATTGACGGGCCGCCTGGCAGCCCTCAACCGCTTTCTATCTAAATCGGCGGAGAAGTCTCTACCCTTCTTCCAGATCATGAGGAAGACGGCTGGCTTTCTATGGACTCCAGAATGCCAGGGGGCTTTCGACGAGCTCAAACGATATCTATCTTCACCTCCTGTGCTCTCCAAACCCAAGGTAGGGGAGACCCTCTACCTCTACTTTGGGGCTAGCCCGGCGGCCATCAGCTCTGTGCTCATCCGGGAGGAAGACGGCATCCAACATGCCATCTTCTACGTTAGCAAGACCCTAAGGGAGGCCGAGCTCCGGTACTCCCCTCTGGAAAAAACGGTGTTGGCCATCGTTTGTACTATCAAGAAGTTGGGCCACTACTTTCAGGCTCACCCGGTTCAGGTCCTCACCCATCAACCCCTCGGCGCCCTCATGAGGAGCCCCACCAGCTCCTCCCGCATGGTGAAATGGGCTATCTTCTTGAGCCAGTACAACATTGACATCCGCCCAAGGCCTGCCATCAAAGGCCAAGCCCTGGCGGACTTTGTGACGGAGTGTACCGCAAGGGCAGCCACGGACGGGGAGCCCTCGGCTACCTCGGACGACTGGTGGACCCTCTACACTGACGGATCCTCCGCGACCAAAGCATGCGGGGGAGGGGTAGTCCTCATTACTCCCGAGGGCTTCAGGGCCTACTATGCAATCCGCTTCTCCTTCAAGGTCTCCAACAATGTGGCCGAATATGAGGCCCTCCTATGTGGCCTTCGGCTGGCTGCCAACATGAGGGCTCGGCAGATCCACATCAAATGCGACTCCAAGTTGGTCGTTGGCCAAATCTCCGAAGAATATGAGGCCAAGGAGGGGAGAATGAAACAATACAAGGAAGCGGCCAAGGAGTTGCTTAAGGTATTTGAGGCACACTCTCTCACTCAAATACCGAGGGCTCAGAACTCCGAGGCCGACATATTATCTAAGCTCTCGGCCGACTCCCCCGAGCACATCTCCAAAATTGCCAAGATCGAGGAACTCAGCCTCTCAATCATCCATGCAAGCCCCGTTATGAACATACAACAACGTCAGGAGGATTGGATCTCAGATATCACCGCCTTCATCTCCACAGGGCAACTACCCGAGAATGAGGCCCGCGCTAAACTGGCAAAGCTGAGGGCTCCTAGCTACACCATCGAAGATGGGAGGCTCTACAAACGATCTTACAATGGCACGCTACTTCGATGCCTTCATCCAGATGAAGCCGAGGTCGCAATGGAGGAAGTGCACAGTGGCCAACCAGATGAAGCCGAGCTCACCAGGGACCCTTCTCTATGTCCCGAAGGCTCATTCTCCAGGGCTACTTCTGGCCAACCATGGCCAGGGATTGTGCTGACCTTGCCCGGAGGTGCACCGCATGTCAACATTTCCAGAAAGCTCCCGGCAGGCCAGCGGTCAACTATGCCCCCATCAGCACCTCTGTCCCCTTTTCTCGATGGGGGATAGACCTTGTGGGCCCTCTGCCGAGGGGTACCTCAAACAACAGATACATCATCGTGGCCGTCGACTACTTTACCAAGTGGGTGGAGGCTGAACCCCTCGCCAGCATCACAGAGGCGAAGTGCCGTCACTTCGTCCTCAAGAACATCCTCACAAGGTTTGGCGTCCCCCAGCAGATCATCTCCGACAATGGGACACAATTTGAGGCAGCCCCCTTCTGTGCCCTTCTGGAGGCATGGGGCATCAAACACACCTTCTCCTCCGTCGCCTACCCTCAAGGCAACGGGCAAGTAGAGAATGCCAACCGGACCTTGCTCGAGGGCCTAAAAAAGAAGATAGAGGCCGAGGGCGGTGACTGGGTGGAAGAACTCCACAACATCCTTTGGGCCTATCGCACCACCCCTCGGCGAGCAACAGGTGAAACACCCTTCTCCCTCTGCTACGGTTTTGAAGCCAAAGCTCCTACGGAAGTCACCCTTCCCACCCGAAGGGTAATCCAATATGACCCCGAGGTCAACGACAGCAACATGGCCCTCGACCTCCACCTCATTTCAGAACGCCGGGAACAGGCCTTCATCCGGGCGGAAAACTACCGAAGGCAAGTTAAAAGCTACATCGACGCCAAAGTTCGCACCCGAGAATTTCAAGTGGGGGACTATGTCCTCCGGAGGAGGGAAGCCAGCCAACCAACCGAGGGAGGAAAAATGGCACCAAAATTCGAAGGCCCCTACATCATAGCAGCCATCATCAAACCTGGGACCTACAAGCTCAAACGCCCCAACGGGAAAGAAGTCCCTAGGCACTGGAATGTACACCACTTAGTAAGAGCGGCCAAGCCCTCATAACTAGTGAATGTAATATCCTATGGCCCAAGGCCTTCAATTTCGAAGAATGAAGATACATTCGAGACATCAAGCCCTCATACTGACTACAGGCCCCCGGCCTCACCACGAGAAGAACCCCCTCCGGCAACAAGTGCCGAGGGCGGACACCATCAACACCTACAACAACGGTGAAAACCCCACGTGTTTTCAGTCAAGATCCCTCGGTACCAAGTACCGAGGGAAGGAACTCCTATCACCAACAACAAGGAGCACCATGTGTTTCATTTCCCTTCGGCACCCAGTGCCGAGGGTACATTCCCACCTTCAACATCAAAAAAGAAAAAGATGAGAACACCAAGTGTTCCTACAGAAGACCCTTCGGCACCCAGTGCCGAGGGTACACCTCCATCATCAAACATCGAAACGAAGAAAAAAACACCAAAATGTTTCAAAGAAGACCCCTCGGCACCCCGTGCCAGGGATATGCTCTCCTATCAACTTCCAAACACCTGTTGGAAAACACCGAATGTTTCATTTGAAGACCCTTCGGTACCAAGTACCGAGGGTAGACGCCTACATCAGCTACGACAAAAGAGAACACCAAGTGTTCCTACAGAAGACCCTTCGGCACCCAGTGCCGAGGGTACACCTCCATCATCAAACATCGAAACGAAGAAAAAACACCAAATGTTTCAAAGAAGACCCCTCGGCACCCAGTGTCAGGGATATGCTCTCCTATCAACTTCCAAACATCTGTTGGGAAACACCAAGTGTTTCATTTGAAGACCCTTCGGTACCAAGTACCGAGGGTAGACGCCTACATCAACTACAACAATAGAGAACACCAAGTGTTCCTACAGAAGACCCCTCGGTACCAAGTACCGGGGGCTACACATCGAAACTAACACCAAGTGTTGTTTCTAAAAGCCGTACCCCACGAGGACGCATATACCGAAGGCGCCACCATCGGTGCCGGCGGCACGTAGTGCCCCCGGCCATTTGCAACTAGTGTGCAAATGAAAACCCTTCCTTGAAACGCTTTCCGCGTCACTACCCCCAGGGTATGACAGGCATGAGAAATGCTCAGGATTCGACTTTCAAAAACGGAACGCTATCCGCGTCACTACCCCCAGGGTATGATAGGCATGAGAAATGCCCAGGATTCGACTTCCAAACCGAAACGCTCCCCGCGCCACCACCCCAAGGGTGTGGCAGGCCACGGACTATGTCTAGCGCCGAGGGGACGACTTTCAAAAATGAGGCGCTTTCCGCGCCATCCCCCAAGGGGAGGCAGGTTACGGACCACCATATCTTGTGCCCAGGAAACGTCCCTCGATCCCATCGGAACTCGGAAGGTTAACCCGAGGGAGGAGAGCCATTGGTGTATTCTGATGGTCTCCTAATAGGCCCAGCCTTACCAAGAAGCCAAGTTTCTTGATGCCTTCCCTTCACCACCAACCAAAAAAAAAAAAAAAAAGAGGGGGTGAAGGGGAGTAGACTCAGCGAGAAATCAAAGAGTACACTCCAACAGATCACAACATGCCGAGGGCTCCCCACATGAACACCTCCGGTAATTGAAGGCTCCTATTTCCCGAAGGACACTACTCAAACAAATATCATCAAGAAACGGCTAAGTCCACTGCCTGGTCACCTCCGGTCACACAAGCACCGAAGGCTTCAACAATACCAAGGGACTATCCAAAGCCCCCTAAACGGTACTACAAACACCGAAGGCATCTGTTATGCATTAATACCGAGGGCCCCTACCCCGTTACAAAGGACACAACTGGCTGAGTCAAACTCTACAACTCTTCAGAGTGTATGCCGAGGGCACACACTCATCGTTGGCACTCTTCACAACAACAGGATTCCACACATATTTGGCCCTCGGCCAGAGACTCATACGACACAAGGGATCTACATCCGGAAGCTCAACACCAATTTACGCTTAGAAAATATTCTAAGTCCTAAATTAGTAGCCCCCAGGCATCTCGCAAAGTAATGCAGAGTCAGATGGCACCTATCACCCGAAGGCTACACAAAGAAACAACACTTGAAAAAAAAATTCAAGTCCTAAAATTGGGCCCCCGGCTCAATCAACATTACAGCCAGGGGAATACAATAGCCGAAGGCTATGCGATACAACAACACTTGCAAACAAAAAAAAAATTCTATGTCCTAAAGATGGGCCCCCAGCTCAGTCAGTATTGCAGCTAGAGGAATATGACGGTCGAAGGCCATACATCAAGAAGGGATGCCATCTCCCGAAGGCTCCCAAGGGAGATTTCACACTTAGAATGTTTTCTAAGTCCTACATGCTTTTCCCCGGTCAACTACTCATACATCAAGGAGGGATGTCATCCCCCGAAGGCTCACAGGGGAGATTTTACACTTAGAATATTTTCTAAGTCCTGCATATTTTCCCCCCCGGTCAGCTACTCATACATCATGGAGGGATGCCACCTCCCGAAGGCTCCTAAGGGAAACTCTACACTTAGAAGATTTTTTAAGTCCTACATATTTCACCCTCATCTCAAGGGACCTAATTGCCGAAGGCTACCTACCAATCGAGGGCTACAGTACACAAGGGATCAACACTCAAGAAAATTTTCTAAGTCCTAAAGAATTAGCCCCCGACCTATTCAATATTTCAGTTGGGGCTCCACAGTAGCCGAAGGCTACATGACATACTACACTTGCAAAAAATCTCTAAGTCCTGTGCATTGGGCCCTCGGTCCAACATTCACACATCAGGAAGGGATGCCATATCCCGAAGGCTCTCAAGGGGAAATCTACACTTAGAAATTTTTCTAAGTCCTAGGATTTGGGTTACTGCAAACACCCGAAGGCCCTATGGTGTGCTACACTTAGAAAAATTTTCTAAGTCCTAATTGCTGCTGAACCCTCGGTTGCATATCCAGCAGAGGGTGCCCAACTACTGAAGGCTCAAAAGGGCTAGCTACAATCAGATAATATTCTAAGTCCTAAAACATACATTCAAAAAAGAGAAGGCATACATCCAAAGCAAGACGAAGGCATATATTCGACAATGAACAAATCAAAAGGAAGCATATCATATACACAAAGCCCGAAGGCAATCATTCAATTACAACAAAAAATAGTCAATGTAATCATTACAGACAGGCCGAAGCCGAAGGATCAGAGGTGTCCGTTACAACAAAAGTTTTAGATATTAGCTAAGTACAAATTTTCTCAGCGGCTTCAGCATCGTTATCTCCGGGGGCATCTTCCACGGCAGCTTTGGAGGAGACTTCTTCCTCGCCAGCATCACCTCCGACGGCTCCGCCCCCATCACCCCCCATCATCACGGAATCATATATCGTCGGCCGCTCTTCGCCCAGGGGGAGGGGAACTCTCACGTCTGGTTGCAGCGGGGGGAGGCCGTATGCCGAGGGGTCGAATTGATCAAGGGATACGCCGAAGTGCCTGGCGAGCCTCCGGTAAATCAGGTGCTGGGTAAAGAACTCACCCCCCTAGTAGTAGGTGTCGCCCCTATCGGTCAGCCAGTCAACCCCGGGGCCTTCAACCCAAGCATCCACCGAGGCTGCCACCACGGAGGCCACCCATTCCTTGTGGCCCTCGGTCCTCCAGCCCTCGGCGAGGAACTCAGCGACTGCCTCCCTTTGGGCCTCGGCCACAGCTCCCTCCTTGGCGATTTGGGCTTCATCGGCATCTTTCTTCGCCGCCTCGGCAGCAGCCCTCTCAGCCTCTGCCTTGCCTTCGGCTATGCCGTCAGCCTTGGCCTTCTCCGCCGCCGCCGCCGCCTCCCGGAGGGCCTCCTCCAGCTGTGCAGCATGCTTCATCGCCTCGGAGTTCTTGCGGATCAGCACCTCCATCTTCTTATCTTGGGCGGCCTCGTGAAGGCGCCTTTCCTCGCGCCTCCGGGCCTGTTCCCCGAGGGCTATGCAGGCCTGCAAACAACGATCAAAGGAGTTAGATTATTCCTCGGGAAAAAATAATACTAAACTGATAAAGAGAAGGAAAAAGGAAGCAGATACTTACAGTGAGAGAGGACCGGAGGATCCTGTTCTCGAGGGCATCATCGTCGTAGGTCTCGAAGACTTCCCTGTCCATCTTCGAGGTGATGCCCTGCAGGAAGGCCTTCGGCTCGGCAGTGCCGTGCATCAATGAAGCGCCGGGGGCAAAGGAGAGCTGACGGATCTCCCGGGGTAATTCCTCCCGGGGGGGATTCACCGGATCCTTCGGAGGGACCGAGGCTAGAGGCCCATCAACAGCGGGCATGTCATCAATAATTATGAGGGGGGCCGCCCCGCCCCGACAGCACCCCCGGCGCCTTTCTGCTTCTTGGTGGGGGGCTCCACCCCCTTGTCGCTCCTCTTCTTCTTAGCGGCCGCCTCGGCCTTCGACCCCCCGGTCCCCACAGCAGCATGGGCGTCCCCGGCGGAAGGCTCTATGACCTTCGGAAAAAGCGCGTCGACTGGCTTCTGGCCCGAGGGCCCCTTCTCCTTTGACTGGGTCTTGCCCTTCCTCTTTGCGAACAGGGCATTGGCATTCATCCTGCTACCTGCAAAGAATGACAACAACAAGTTAAAAGGTTAGAACGGAGGGGTCAGACACACGACAACAAACATAACAAAAACCTCTAAGTACGAAAATGTAAAATCCCCCGGCCACTACCTCCTGTTCCCACGAAGGCCTCAGCAAAAATGGGGTACTTCTCGTCCGCTTCCCCAATAAATCGGTACCTCCGAAAGCCGAGGGCGTAGAATCCTTTGTCGGCAGTATAGTCTTTGATGGAGACCTGCTTTGTGCGACCCTCCGGGATTTTGGCTATCACCAGGCCATCTTTTTCGAGGGCGGCGCTTCCAACCTTCGGGTGCCGACGGAAGCGATCCCGAAGTTCCGCCGGAAATGGGTTCTCAGCAACCCTGACATAGCACCAGCGCTCCTTCCAGCCCTTATTGGACGAAGGCGCCTCCGTGAACAGCTTCCACCTGGCCACCTGCTGCAGGTTGGCGAAGCCCTCGGCATTCGCGTGACCCCCTCGACAGAGGTTGAAGCTCTGGAAAAACAAGTCCAGGCTGGGGGTCACCCCTCGGTCCCTACAGAGGTTTAAAAAACCCGCCACGTAGGAGTGGCTATTAGGTGTCAGCTGGCAGGGTACCAAGCCAACAAACCTCAGGTACTCCCGGAGGAAGGGGTGCAGAGGGAACCGAAGGCCCATGGAGACCGACAGTACGTGTACTGCAATGCACCCCTCAGGCGCCCGAGAGAGCACGTCGTCAACTCCCGGCTCGACCACCACGGCCGAGGGCCCTACATGTAGCTGCATCACGTAGAGGTCCGCCCTGTCCGCCTTCGACTTTATCTCTAAGGCAGCCGTGTTGAGCCAGGAATACCCCTCCGGCATATCTACGGGTTTCCCCTGATCAGCAGCAATGACCTTCTTCTTGGGGGCAGCTGCCTTGGCCTTCTTCTTCCCGGGGGCCACCCGGATGGGAACTGCATTCAGCGGCTGGGAGGTACTGGCCTCACCAGCACCCCGAGGGGGAAGGACTGCCACGGTGACCTTCGCCCTCTCCTTTTCCTCCTCCTCTTCAGCAACTTGGACGGCGAGGGCCAACTCTTCATCCTCGGCAGTTCGCTCGAATTCCTCCGCCTCGGCCTCCGCCATCAGATCCTTCTGCATCTCAGTGGTGAGGGCTGCATCACCACCATCTGAGGGCTGACCACTGCTGGACTCCACGTCGGAGATGCCTTCGTCCTCCATCGAGGGCGTCCTCGAGATGTCCTGAGAGTCACTCTGGGACGACATTCTAACTCTAGCTCGAGGTTTCGGGGGAACTAAGGTTTCTAGGGAACTCTATCTCCTAACCCGAGGGCACAATGCACAGCTAAACTAGAAGGAGAAAGGCAGGGGGCACTGACCTTGAAAGCAGAGTTTTGACCGGAGGCTTGAGTTTCTCTCACTAGATTTTTTGGCAGAGCTTCGCTAAGACAACTGAGTTCGCACAGCGGGAATGGCTCTGGCCTTGGGGAATTTATAGGCGCTGGAATCCGGGCTTGGGCCCGGAAACCGGGCCTCCGGACGGACCGTCATCACTACACACCGTCGTTTCACCCAACCGGTGACGCCGCCCGCGAACAGCCAGCCATCACACGCCACGTGTGCCACCCCCCCCCCCCCAACGGCTATATCCCGTCGTTACATATTCCAACGGTTATATTTCCAACGGCTATATTCTGGAAGCCCCCGGGTTTTCTACTTCACTCCACTTCATCAAGGATAGCCTCCGGGTACACTCACTCAGAAGTGCCCCCGGGTTGTGCCCCACACAGCACATAACAGATGCCTTCGAGATCACTCCTTCAGAAACCCAGGACTTCATATCAGGGCACCCCTCAGGGATTCCCCCTCAGCACTGCAAAACCGGGGTAGCCCCCGGGGAGTTGCCTCATTGACGGATGACCCATGGCACACTGGTAATGGGAGCCCTCGGGTATCTTCATCACCAACTAATCAACAAACAGTGGACCCCCCCGGTAACAACTTCACTGCTGCCCTCATCTGGCAGGCCCTCGATCCCTGGATTGAGGGGCTCCCCTTCGGCGCCACCAGGACAGCAACAGCAAGCCTTCGGCTAATCAACACAGGAGCCCTCAGAAGAGAGAGCCTTCGGCATTCCCGTCATTCTCCATTTTTTACCAAGGTTTGACATTTTCGATTCATCATTGGGGGAATTCGGTGCACTCTTTTTCCCTCATTAGGATTTTTTCCCAAAGGGTTTTTCCTGATGAGGTTTTTAACGAGGCATCCCCCCAAAATGAAACGAAAAGCGTCAGCCTTCGGCCCACAACAGCAACGTAACTACTTTACTCCTTTTCACAACTTTACAAGTGCCTCAAGGAGTGGGGGACTGGAGGACCCCCTCGGGAAAATCATTAAATTACAAAATCTGTGAAATTCCAACAAACAACAAAGCAAGCCCTCAAGTCCCGACATGTGGGTAACTGAGGGACTGCCTTCGGCAGGGACATAAAAGCAACAACTCCTCACCCACTTCAGAGATCACGACGGGACAACATCAAAGGGCAAGCACAAATTACTCCTTTTCCCTCAAGTACCTTTCAGCAAAAGGAGTGAGGGATTCCTGATGGAGTATATGGCCCGGGAACCCCCGGTCCACAGACTCCTACTACTCCAGCGAAGGCCCAACAGGCCCAACAGGCCCAGATCACAGCGCCCAGAGTACCAAGCAGCCCGCACAACGCGCCAGGGGTGCCTTCGGCCCCCTGGCCGAAGGCTCCAAATTCTCACAGAACGGGTTTCTCAAGCAAATTAAGAAACTGGGAGAAAACGGCGAAAACAGTAGCCCTCGGCAATGTGAGCCCTCGGCACCAGGGTGCCATCGGGTGGAGGAGCCCTCGGCTACTGCTCTATAGCCGAAGGCATCTCACTCGAAAAGATATCCACCTCACATGCGTACAGATCACCGTACCCCGCACAGACGTCCCATCCAACAGCCGCATTAAATGCGGCCACATGCGGCTGCCAGCGCCAACCAGTTGAGGTGACCCCTCGGCCAATGAGCGCTTGACACGTGTCCCTGCCCGGCATTTATTGCTACTATAAATAGCACCCCATTTCCCCATTTGTAACCACGCTGAAAACGGCATTCATACTGAATACACTCTCTCTCTACTTTTACTTACTTGCTCTGACTTCTCTCTAAGTTATTCCCCGTAATAACCCTTCGGATATATACCCCGGATAGACTATCCATCAGCTTGCAAAGCTAATAAAACAAGTTTCAATATAGAAAGATTAGGTTGGAAGTTCTTGGGTTCATGCAAAAGTTGTTGAGGTGAAAGTGATGAGAACTGGGAACAAATATTAGATCACAAGTTAAAGTTGGAATTCAACTTCTATTGGAGCACACATATTTCTGCTCCAGATTTGGATCCAATTATATGGTCACAAATATGAGATGTTACAAAAGACCCATTTTTAATTGATCTATAATAGTTTGAAATTCAAATAAAAACATATTTAAAGTAATTTCTTATCATAATTTATCAGTTAGAGTTGAGCTCTATTAAAAAATTTAGTTAGTAGTTTAACTTTAGAAGGACGAATGGCATTGTTACTTTGGCATAGAAATGAATTACTTCAATTACAAATCAGTGCTTGACAAACATTTTTTGTTAGAAGCAGCACATTGACTACCCAACATTCGACATAATAGAAAAGCAATTCAGGATTAAATAACAGAAAAAATCACATTTTCAAGTTCCCTATTTAACAAAATACAAATTTGAATAGGAAATTTTCTGGTTGTTGTAGAAGTTCAGCAAGCAATTATCTATCAAGTTGTTATTAATCTCTATGGCTTTACTTTAATGACAAACAACAATTAAGTAATAAAATCTAAATACATATATCTAAATTTAAATTAAAAAGTGTAAGAAGTACTGAAGAATTGTTTGGAAAAAAATTAAAGATATTAATCCACAACACTTATCTATGAAAACTGTCGCCGGAGACGCCGAATATGATAGCCGATTGTCGGTGACGCCGAACACAGTGACTATCGATGTGTGAGCTTAAAGGTGGCGACCGTTTAATGTAGAGGGTGCAGGTTGGAAGGTGGACAACGTGATCGGTTTATGCAAATGTGAGGTAGGACTATAGGAGAGATTAGAGGCGGTGTTTGGGGGCTAAGGATGTCAATGCCGATTCTGCATAAAGGAGATCAGGGTTTGGGGTTGTATTTTATACGATGGGATTTGGGCTGTGGACTTTTTGACCTCATTTTGTTAAAACATGATTTTTTAGATAGGAATTTTATCAATTCAGGAGTTGAAAGATAGATGAATTATCAATCCAGTATTCAAAAGATAAATTGTATAGATAAAGACTCGAATGATGAAAAACTATCAATCTAGGACCAACATTTCATAGGTTAATTTATTAAACTTTTTATTAATTTCATTGCTAATTTTTTGATAAACTCTTCTTCTCAAAAGTTTATTGGTTTAATAAAAATAAATAATATTTAAAATCATTAAAATAAAAAGAATAATATGTAATAATATTCATGACAACTTAGGTTTTTCAATCATTCAAATCCTAAATTGATAGTTTTCCATCATTCAGGTTCTATACCGATACATTTCACCTCTCAGGTTCCCAATTGAAAATTCGTCTATCTTTGAGCTCCTGAATTGATAAAATTCATTTTTGATATTAATTAAGGGATGATTACTAATAGTAGCAATATTTAAAACAAAATTGCATTAATCTGTCAACAAAAGGAATATTTTAAAATAAACAATTTTGAAAATTAAAGTTAACACTACCTCTGTCCGTTCAAAGGTTTCAATTGCAAACCACGAAAGTGAGAATTTTTAAATGGGACGGAAGGAGTGTATGAATGTTTGTACGATTTACAATGATTATATTACTTCTGTCCCATAAACTAAGTCTCACTTCAATTTGGATCGGTGTTTAAAAAAGTGGGAATAAAGTGGAAATGTATGATTGTGATTGAGTAAGAAAAAGGTAAATGAATGTTAGCCACACAAAACTTTAAAAAAAGAGAAATGGAAACTTTTTTTTGGGACGGCCCAAAAAGGAAAGTGGGACTTATTGTATGGGACGGAGGGAGTATAATTTAAGATAAGGACGGTGAAATACACAATTTTTGTTTGTACAAACTTTTTGAAATGGGATTTCAAAGGAATGTGAAATTGATGAGAACTACTTGCAATATAACATCTCAAAACATGAGCCATATGTCTCCTAAACGAATGTTTAAAGCGTAATTTTGGGATCTATTGACATGTATTATGACACACGCACAAAACTTTTTCTGCTATGTTAGATTATTTTTATATGTTTAAGAATTTTAAATACAAAAAAAATATTAAAAATTTAAATGCAATTTCAGATAAAACCCAAAACAAATGCTAAAAAAGAACAAATAAATATTGGGTTCACTTTCATTGTCAGAAACACCTTTGGATGGGTAAATCAATTTATATTAATTTCCATTTTTTAATATATACCGCTCAATGTACTGCCTAATATTCCCTCATTTAATCTAGAAAATACACTAATAACTTTTGAGCGACAAAATACAACTCAAACAAAAGTTTTGACGGGATTGTGTGTAGGTGAAAAGATGTTTAATATCAAAAATATCGTTGACACCATCTCCTTTGAGATCGTTATTCAAGTTTCAAAGAAGACAATTTCCTCTATTTCTGTGGGAGATACAACGCGCAGGTTGTCTTTAAAAAATGAAATTGCTGACTGAAAAGACTCTTACTATATATATCCACCAGCTGAAGACGAGGAGACACATATTTGACAATAAGATCTCCACTAACAAGTAGGTTGTTTCTTGGACTTCCAAGAAACCATATTAGGACCAAGAAATACAGCAAACCCTGACGTAGATCTGCAGCCGGATGTCTGATGTATGCTAGAGTAGGCTGCCAATACTGTCCATGATATGGAGAGCCCTGAAGATACCTTGAGCAAGGACAATGAACGAAGTGAGTAGTGGAGAGGATCCCGGTCAACCGCAATCTAGCCCCAACAGAAGACGATGGGATCATGTCAGGGTCGCCGGAGAGAGCGGGACGGACGTAGCGCTCTGGAACAACCGTGTGAGCAGCCGATCTGCACTCGGTTGGAGAATGGACGTATGTAGCAGCGGGTGGTGAACGGAGCTGCACGTTGGAAGGAAGCATCGTGGTTAGCGACCCAGAGAAGGTGGGTTGCGCGGACGTAGGCAGCAGCAGGCGGCGAACTCAAGGGCATGCGGGAAGCAAGCACTGTGGTCAGCGATGCGAAGAAAGTGGTCTGCGCCGTATCAGCCACACTCACACTCAAATGATCAGAGACTGTCGTTGATGTGGTGGCAATCGAATATAAAGGCGGCTGTACTAGGGTTCATGGGAGCCAGAAAAAAAACAAAATAATAATAATAATTGTGTCTAAAACCCTAGAGCTCTTTATACCATGTGAAATAATGGGAAAGAGTACTCCAATAGAAATCCACACACACATATATATAATTGAAGAGTTGGCAAAATACAAAGTATTCCTAAATAGATACTCCATACTAGGCTATAACTATTGTCTGATGCGGTGACAAAAAACAAGAGTTAAGGACAATCCTTATATAATGTTGGATTAGTTTTATAAATCCATATTTTGAGTCATGGTTAGTTGTATGTTGCTCTTTTGTGTGTTACTAATTCCAATGATTTGAAAATATTTATATGTGACAAAGATGACAAAAAGTACCAATGTAACAACCAATGTTGTATTTTTAAGGAAATATTTCAAAAGTTGTAAACCACTTATAACGTTCATCTTTAAATATACTTTATTGTGGAAATCCTTTGCTTCTTAGAATTGTTTTCTGTTAATTAATATGTAGAATTCTTATTGTGACATTTTACCACAATCTAATTTATATTCAAAACTTACTTTTGTCACATGAGTAATATCTTATTCCTGTGCATCGCACGGGTATAATACTAGTTTTTACAAAAGCCGATAGTAATGAATAAGAACATTGTTCAAAGTGACTTTTGAAATTTCTAGCTAATCGAGACATGGGATATTTGACGTGGGATATTTGACGTGTCAATTCCCATCGAGTAAGAAGACTGCAATGAGCCCTCATGAAGCTAATCTAGATATGAAATGCAAGACGTGTCAGTTGCCATCATCAAATAAGTGATCTAATATAGAGAGAAAGTATTTTAGAAAATTGTGATGGTAATATCTTTTGCTTCACTATTTTTAATTTTTAGTGGTATTCATTATTGAGATCATCTAATTATTATAAGCTTCTGAAATTATCACCAAAGTTTATTCCTCTTTATTTATGATAAGCTTCTAAAATTGTCACCAAAGTTTATTCCTCTTTATTTGCTAGCTCCTTTATCCTCTCTCTTTTTGTTAGATTTCATCGTTAGTTTATATGGTTTTAGCAGATTAACCGGATCTAGAAAATCAAACCAAGGGGTAACATGCTTGGAAAAATAATATTGTGTGATTTATTCTATAAATATTTGGCATCGAAAGATCATTTGTTCAACTATAATCACAAGGCTCCTTCAAAAAAAATACTATAATCTCAATGCAATAATTTCTATTTTCTACAACTAATGGTATTGAGTTGTTAGTATTTCTGATATTAATAATTTCCAAAATATATTTGATACTCATGAGTATTATTATCAATTTCTTAAAAGCTTTAATGATGCAATACTCCGTACTAATTTATTCCAATGGAAACAGTGGTTCAAATTTATTCAAAATTGCTAAGCATGAGTATTATATGTGAGATCTCATCAGTGAAAAGAAGAAAGTGCTATTGTGAATGAGAAGGTTTGGGGTGCAATCGGCCTTTGTGTGACTGGAAGTAGTAAATTCTTTGTGAATGTGGGAGAAGAGATAGGAAAAAGGGAAGTGAGAATCATGGGGGTGAGTGCTTGAGACTCTACGAGGAGAGAAGGTGATTGAGAGTTCATTTGATAATATTAAAATTAATTGAATTAGTGTAGGAATATTTCAAACAAGAATTGTTTCACTTGATTGATATGTTGGTAAAAGAGAATATGAAAACTAGCTATTTGATAGGTTGGAAATTAAAAAATTGGAATCTGAAATCACTTTGATTTTAATGTGTGGGGAGCAGGTGATTGAGAGTTCATTTAATAACATTGAAATTAATTGAATTAGCTGAATATGTTGAAATTAATGAAATTTAGACTACACCAATTAAACTGGTATTTTGTAAAATTATGATAAATGTGAGATGTCAAAAATATACTTTGTGAAAAATTAGTACTATCGTGCATCGCACGGGTACTAAACTAGTTTTCAATTAATAGGTCTTAATTTGTTAAAATTTCAGATCATGTTTGGAAGAGCATTTGAAAACTACACAGGAGAGTGCATAATAGGTCATGTTTTCTCTTCATATACTTTTTAAAGGTGTTATCAACCTTTATGTTTTGTTTGTGACTTGAGTAACTGTTTTTTTATACAGAGTATAAAACTTCTATCTCATATTGCTAAGGTTTCATATTTACAAATAGACTGCTAAATACTTTGATGAATACTATTTTATTTAAACTGCAAAATAGGCATGGGATCGGTTCGGTTCTTACTCAAAATTGGTGGAACCGTTACAAAAAATTTCACTAATAAAATTGGTTCGCTTCTTATGTAAAAAATCAAGAATCGTTTTGGAACCGAACCAATACTAAACGGTTCGTTTCTTACTTTTATCGGTTCCTCAAATAAATTTTTTCCTCATCTAATAAATGAGCACATTATTTGCTTTCTACCACATAACAATGTAAAAAATATCAAACACAACTATTAAAATTTTATTTAAAGTTCTAATAAATTCAAACATCATAGCTCAAACTTAACTAAGTGAACACTTAATAGAATAAAAGAAAGTTTCAATTTCCGTTTAATAAGTAGAACATAAAACTCTTAGTTATGTGGTAACAATAAAGGTTGTTCATCATCACAGTTGCAAGATATGACGTCCACTTCAAGTTTTTCAAAACAAATAAAACACATTGAGTTTACATGTATAGTTATAGAAGCATCATTACAGTCTATTTGCTAGTAGTACAATTTACAATAAATCTAATAGTTACGAACATCATGAAGATAGTAAAGCAAAATATATGCAATCAACTACAAGTTTTTTGAGTTATTTATTATTTATAAAATATATGTGATTTAACAAAACTTGATTTTGTAAAAGTGAGCTTAACGTATTCAATCTCATGTGCAATATTGATTACTTTTGTTTTCGTTGGTTAAATTAGAATTGTTGGCTAAATATCATTGATTGTACTATTATTGTTATTACTATCGCTACTACTATTACTATTTTTAGTTTTAATTTTTAATTACGGTTCCTTAACGGTTCTGTGCACACATTTTTTATACGAACCAGGAATCGAACCGTTAGTAACAACTAGGAACCGAACCGTTAACAACTAATACCACATTTGTAGGAACCGAACTGGGTTATAACGGTTCGGTTCCAACCGGATCTACGGTCCCGGTTCCAAAATCCCACCCCTATTGCAAAAAACTACTATTGGTTGATAAATTGTATCCACTTTAGCATTTTGGGTAAGTAAAATAGGTAAAGTATTTTATGAGACTTCTTGAAACAGTATTTTCTTAACTTCATTGAAAAAATTAAAACGAAAAGTATAAGAGACAATTATCTCTTTGAAGGAATAAAGTAAGCTGAATACAAAAAATAAACCTTTTGCACTCAGCTTCTTGATTTGAGGTTTTGTAAGTGGCTTTAAAAGTGATATGTTAATTGCACTTTCAATGCAATGGACAAAAGTAGGAGGGTTCTTAACAACACTTCTTGTTAATCTTTGAAAGATAAGAACACTTTGCAATTTCAACAACTGACAAACACTACAAAATTATTCAAAATCGTACAATCAATATCTTATAAATTAAAATATTTTGGAGCTGGTAATGCCATTCTTACCTGCACCCATTTAACATTGTACTACTTACTTCTTTCTGGTAGACATCTTGACAGAAATGCAGGAGCCAAATGAATTTCCAAATATCTCTAGTTTGAACATACAAATTTATTTTTCAATCGTCCTCGAAGAAACTCTAGGATACCTACTATATTTGCTAGCTTTCATGCACCATACAGAAACATAATTAAGATCATTTTATATATTATGTGAATTGTCATTACCTTATCCCACTTATATATATATGTGCATTTTGCAGGTGTTTTGCTTTTTATTCTTATCTAGTGAATGTAGATGAACTTGTTAAAGACTACTAGGAAATTTTGTTATGCAATGATGGAAGGTTTGTGATGAAGTTACTTTGTAATGGACTCCTATTTATACGATCAACAAAGGGTGTTCCTCTTAGAATACAACGGTCCTTAGTAGAGCGTGAAGGCATTAATTGCTTTATATTTGTTGCCGCCCAATAGTCTTAAAGAAATTAATTTTTATAATAATTATTGTGTGTCAATTGGTAGTGTTATCTAGTCATTGTTTATTGAGTGAATTGTTTGAAGTGGTATCCGAACTCTTTGTGAACTCTTCCATCAATAATCTGCCCAATCAACTTCATCTTGAACTCGTATCATCCCAATCTTTTTACTCCGTATTAATCATGGACATAGAGACACTTTAATTAGTCATTTAGCCGCCACATAATAATAAATACAATTGGAAATTTGAAAAGATACTTCAAGTCGTGCTTGTATTTATTACTCCGTGGCCTAAAAGCATATTAAATGCATTAGTCTCTGGGAAAAGGTGCAAATAAGCTCTCGAACTAACTGAAAAAGTGCAAATTACCCCTTTCATAGGAGGCTCTGTCCAGCCGTCGCCATTTGGGGGGGTTCCCAGACGAATTTTTTGATGAATATTTTTGAGCGTCTTCTTCCTTAAATCTAGTTTACCCATATCAAGTTTCAGCTAAAAATTCAACCGAGAAGGCAGTCAAACGATTTTCTGAAAGTTACTGCGCTGTTTAACTACGCAGTTATCTTCAAGCATTTATTTGTCTGCATTCTCGATTGCATTTTTAGCTGAAATTTTGTATGAGTAAACTAGACTTAATGAAGAAGATGTTAAAAAAAATTTATCAAGAATTTTCATCGGTAACCGTCCCAAATGGCGATGGCCGGACAGAGCCTCTTATAAAAGGGGTGATTTGTATTTTTTCGGTTAGTTCGAGGGCTTATTTGCCCCTTTTTTCCTTGGTCTTTTAGTATGTTGTACTAATATTTTATTAATCAATGACCGGAATACCAAAAGACACCTTGAATGTCTCAACATTTATCCACCGATTTGGCTGCACATTTGAAATGCAATCCTCCACACAGTCCATACCCCTTTGGCCTCCCTCCTTGAGACTTTTCTATTTTACTATGGAGGATAAGGGAAAGATAGGGTCTCAAACTTGAAAAAAAATGTCAAATAAGGCCATATTTAGGATGCTCTATCCGGCCGACGGCCCGACGCCATTTGGGGTGATTCCTGGTGGAATTTTTTGATGAAATTTTTTGAGAATCTTATTCATTAAATCTAGTTAACTCATATCAAATTTGAACTAAAACTTCAATCACGAAGGTATACAATTGCGCGGTTAAAAGAGCAATTATCTTCAAAAATTTATTTCAATGCATTCTCGATTGAAATTTTAGTTCAAATTTGATATGAGTAAACTAGACTTAACAAATAAGATTCTCAAAAAAAATTCATCAAAATAATCGACCGGGAACCGTCCCAAATAACATCGACCGGACAAAACATCCTAAATATGGCCTTATTTGACATTTTTTCCCAAATTCGAGACCCTATCTGACCTTTATTCCTTTTACTATACATACATACATATATATATATATATATATATATAGATTTGATTGAATTTCAGTTCAAAATGTGGCCTGAATGGCCGTATAAACAAAGCCTAAAAATTACCATCCACACAAAACCTTTCAAATTACGCATATTCAGCAAAACAAACACAAAACTCTTTTTTATAAGCACTGTTACTGCGCTAGTAGAATAGCTATAGGCTAATCCAGCAATCTCCCAGTTGCTTCCATATAACAAAGAACACATAACCAAGTCATGGAATCATTACAGAAGTACATCAGAAGCTGGAAAAAAAGGCCATAAGAAACCATAATCATCCAGGATATCTTCTCTGTCGAGCCACAAGCTCATGCTTTCTTCTTCTCCTTCGATGGCCCTCTAGGAATTTTACTCAACACTTTCTCATCAAAAACAGCATATTGCTTCTTCAATTCCTTCATTGCCTTCTCAGCGAGTGAATCAATTTCATCTTCATACTTCTCATATATGACTGGGACAGTATGCAGCAGTACAAATACTGTTTCATGGAAAAGGAAAATCATTGTCACACTTTCCTAGTAAAAATGCTCAAAACCAGTATTAACTAATTTGCTCGAGTCCAGTTCTGAGCTACACAGCTTAAGCTTGATCTAGTTCTTGCCTGGTCGATTTAGGTTAAGTATGGCCAACAGATATAGTACTGGGATTAAGCCTCTTATTGTCAGGTCTGTGGGTCTATTTTAGTCGGGCATGGCCAGTTCTGGTACATAAAGAACTCCTTACTCACAAATTAGCACAGCTATTCAATGGACTTACTTATGTAGAACAATGTCAGAAAATTGCACCAACTGCCAACAATTGAGAGGATCCATAGCCCAGCAATTACCTAATTTTTTAAAGAAACAAATAGCTTTTAATGAACAACTGTAATAAAACCCAACATGTTACATAGTATAAGAGAACAACCACAATAGTCTGAAAGTCCATCCTAAACTACAAACATTGCAATCCTTAAAAGGATCATGAGAAAATTATTCTAGATAATTTCTCAAATATGTTTCGTCAGTGGCTTTATTTGTCCAAGGATCAAATATCCTTCAAGAAAAAGGAAGCAAAATAAGAAGGTAAAATATGGAAAGAAAGTTAAGTTACAATGTCAGGTAGGTGGGGGTTTTCCAGCTACTGGGCTCCAAGACTTGATTGGCAGAAGTAGATCAGATTCCATTGTTTCGGAGAATCCTCTTCACGTAATTATATTCCAGCAAAAAAAAAACCTCTTGTGTTATGAATCAAATGAGTGACTTGAGAATGAGAGAAAATACGGAGTATCAATTACAAAGAGAAATTTTGGTCGCTTCACTGTAGCTTTGCATTGTAGAACTTTTTACTGTAGCACTTTATGTGTTGTGCATACAAGGGCATGAATGAAATTTTATTACTTTCTTTGTATTTCTTAATTAGTGTACATAATCATAACATTAATTGAAACACCGAATACATAGTGGACAATTTTTTTATTAGTTTGATGGGATATACTGACGGTACATAATGCAATTGCAGCTCTAGGACTTTGCTCACTTTTCCAAATAATTGCTTCGTTAGAGAGAGAACATCCTTTGGGATCATCGAACCAAACTAGCGATCTCGAGAGACCAGATGTGGATTTTCTTCCTATGGGATTCAAGCACAGAGTCATGCACTTTATGTAGGGTGTTGTAATCTCTAGGAAAGGCCCAGTGCCTAGAATGGGGTCCTTAACCACCAGTTCACACAAATATATAGAGAAAGTCATCTGCTCTCTCGAGATCGCTAGTTTGAATTTCACTAATGGCCGCTTTATGGGTTCGACGATCCTAGAGGATGTTCTCTCTGTAACCAAGCAACTATTTGGAAAAGTGAGCCAAGTCTTAGAGCTGCAATTGCATCATATACAGTTACATCTCATCAAACTCATAAAAAAATTGTCCACTATGTATTCGGTGTTTCAATTAATTAATGTTATGATTATGTACACTAATTAAGAAATATAAAGAAAATAATAAAATTTCATTCATGCCCTCATACGCACAACACATAAAGTGCTACCTTAAAAAGTTCTACAATGCAAAGCTACAGTGAAGCAACCAAAATTTCTCTTTGATTCATAACACAAGAGGTTTCTTTTGCTGAAATATAATTACGTCAAGAGGATATTATGGACAGAAATTTCTCAGAAGGTATATTATGGACAGAAATTTCTCATAACACAAGAGGTTTCTTGGAGCCCAGTAGCTGGAAAACCCCACCTACCTGACTATCTCAGAAGGTATACTATGGACAGAAATTTATGCTACCTTTAATTCTACTTTTTTATAGTTTTTATATTTAGAAGTTTGTTATGTGTATGTTATGATGATTAAAATCATAAATTTGTAAAATCATTAATATGTAACATTATCCTTCCTTCAAAATCTACAATTCAAACATCATAACCTTACCTCCCATCAAAATCTATATGTCAAATAATTAAAACAAATTTACCAACTTCCATGTGCCAAGATTACAAAACTAGACACTTACAACAAGAAATGTCTTTAGATCTCTTCCGGATGCAATATCTCGTAGTAAAGCCAAACCATGGTTGATTCCAACGGTCACAGCATCAGCAACCTCAATGAAGGGATCCTTTGGAATGTGGACTTCTGGAATGCGTGGAGGAGACCTGAGAAAAATTGCCAACTATGTGCTCAGTACTTGGAACAAATACAGAGCAACCTATATAATTAATCGTGTATAGCAGTAGAAACCAACTTGTTAATGAATGACGATGCATTGGACCACAAGAACGAGATTGCAAGAGAACCAATCAAAACATGGCAGACCAGTGCTAAAAGGTGGTACTCTAGCAGTTCAAACAGAACCCAGATAGCAGTAGCTCCACCAAGGCCTGCTGCGGATATCTTCTTGTTCCTCCACAAAAACACATCAGCAGCTGTAATTTGAAAAATAAATACAATCCTTTCAAAAAGTTAACATTCCCCAGGCTTGGGTTAAATAACACATCATTTAGAAACAAAAGCGACTACGAAATTATCTACACAGGCTTTGAAGCCAACTATTGGGATCTGATCCAAGAGTAGAGCATTGTTTTTCTCTTATCAGGAATAATTAAATATTTACACAATCACATATGGAAAACTCTCTTAAAGTCATAATCTTCTGCACCAAAAAAAAGCAAAAAAATATCGCGCAGTATTCAGACAGTTAGCAACTCAGCGCACATAGGAAGCTGAGATGAGCCATTCAGCAGCAAAGCAACAAACAGGGCTCAAGATATCAATCATCACAACTTAATAAGACACCATCGACTGCAAACAGTTACTCAAACAAGATAAAATAAACACAGATCTATCATATTTAAAGCAACTTAAAACACCAAAACTCACCACCCCATTTCCACCACTATACTGATTTTTTCACAAAACACCTGATGGTGCTCCATAGCAGTACAGCTACAATATCCAAACAAAAATCGCAGCAGAAATGACGGATCCGAAAATTTTAGGAACCCCTAAACCCTAATCACATTTATCCACTGCCAGTATATGAAAATATATATACTTTATTTAAAAGAAAAGTAACAAAGAGCTACTAGTGACATATACCAAGATTCACATCACAATCCATATGTATGTATATAATTAAATTGTGCGTTCTTGTAGGTGTAAAAAACGTACGTTTTCCTCCGCCAAATACATGGTGAACGGGCTTCTCTCGGCCGAAAAGACGCCAAATCTTAGCCTTTGCAGAAGAACGTGACGCATGATCTTTCACATGATCTTTCACATGCTCTTTATCAGATTCGGAATCGGATGACGAACTGTCACCGCTGCGAATCTTCTCAGAGATCTTAGCTAACAAGGATTCTTTGGGTTGACTCGGTTGCTCCTCGTGCTCTGCCATCTTCAGCTGCGAGCTCCGATTCGATTCGATTCGATTAGCTATCAGCACTGGAATTGAAATGAAAATGCACACTTTTCTTGAAATTGTACTCCGAGCACTTCACCCTTCGTAGTGTATATATATTGCTCGAATCGGGTGAAGCTTCGAAGTAATGGGTCGGGTCATGCCGCCTTGATGTTGAATAAATGTTTTTTTTTATTCAGAGTAATTGTATTTCATTTTCAAATTTAATATTGAGCGACTATAAAAAAATTAATATTGAGTGTTCAATAAATTCTATCACTGGAGCTTTAAAAAATATTTCTCTCGTCCAAATATGATCTGTAAAAGTCTAATTTCCTTGATAAATGTAATTTTTGTTTACTTATTTAATTAGATTATTAATTTCACATGCTTATTGATTCTTTTTCTTCTACGTCCAAAAGGTTGATGTTCAACCCCAAAGCCCCCCACCCTAATCCTACAGAATGGTGGAGAGTTTAATTACGGTGACTCAGTCAGCAAAGTGACAGTAGGTTTTTAGGTTTAGCTTTATTTTAGGTTTTGAAAACCCTTTTTTGGTCGTTGTGGGATTCGAACCTTGGTCTACGTCCAATTTTTCCCACCACTCGACCAACTGAGCAACCCTTTTGGTCGCTGGGGTTTTTTTTCTTCTTCTTTCAGGTGACGAGGTCATTTGGCAATTAGTCTGTCAAACAAGTGTATTCTAAATACGGAGTACATCATTAAAAGTTGTGATTTATTTATTATATTAATATATTATTAGTACGATGTACTCCGTATAATTTTTTAAAAATTGACTCGGTTAATGAAAACAAAGAAATCGTTAGGTGCCTAGTTGTGGAACTGTGGGCGCATGCTTTGGTACGGTATACGTGTGTATGCAAAACGAAAGGGGGGAACTTTCGTGTACATACAAAGACAGCCTAAATATAAAATACTACCTCCCTCCCTTAAAATTTTGTCAAGTTTGATCGGCACGGAGATTAATAAAGTAAAAATTGTGTGATTGAAGACAATGAAGAGAAGAGAGAATTAACTGGAATCACAAATTCTTTACTTAAAAGGGAAAGTGGCAAAGTTAATGAAACATCAAAAAAGGAAAGTTGACAAAATTGTATAGGAGAGAGGGAGTATATATGGAGCACGACTGCATGAGGTGCTGATCAAGAACACGTTGTTGCCATTATAAAGCTAAGGAAAATTGCTTAGAATATGATCGATCTGATAACAGGATGAGCCCAAAGTTTTATATAGTGTTTCATTATTTTATAGTTTTCGATTTGGAAAAATACTTTAACACGCACATTCAGTCCGAATTGAGATGGATAATATCGCGTAAATGATCCAAACAAACCTTTAACAAACCAACCTTAACCATGAGTGTTTAATAAGCAGTTAAACATCGGCAGACATGGATCTAATACCACGTTAAGACCCGGATCCATCATAAAAGGTTAACCTGATAGGAGGAGTAGCCCAAATACTCTCTTATTTTATTGTTTTTTAGTTTTCCGATATGGGACAAAAAAAATACTCCCTCCGTCTCTGAAAATTCTTCTCGCTTTGACTTGGCACGAAGATTAAGAAAGTGGAATAAAGTGGAAATATGTGGTTGTAGTTGTGTAAGAAAAAAGTGAAATGAATGTGAATCACACAAATTGTTCAAAAATGGTAAGTGGGAAGAATTTTTTGGAACAGCCCAAAAAGGAAAGTGGGAAGAATTTTATGGAATGGGGGAGTACAACACTATAAGACAACGGAAAACTATAAAATAAAAGTTTGGATTACTCTTTCTATCAGGTTGACTTTTTAGGATGGAGCCATATGTCTTAACACGGTACCAGAACCAGGTCCGGTTGTGGTTTATTGCTTGTTGACCATCCATGATTAAGAATAGCTTGTTAAGGGTCTGTTTAGCCCATTTATACACCCCCGATATTGTCCAGTTTATTTCGGGCTGAGGGGGCATGTTATAGTATTTTTCTCACATCAGAAAACTATAAAACAATACAACATTATATAAGACTTTGAGTTACTCTTCCAATTGGGTCGACCTTTTAGAACTGAAGCTCGGGTCTTAACATATTCTTTAAATAAGAGAATTATTGTCATGTTAATACCAAAGTTTAAACATGATAGTAGTCCTAAATTATTAAGGGTACTAATTATTTCTTCCGACACGTACAGAAAATTCAAAATGTGCACGGTGCACATGTGGCATGAAATATGACCACATAAATATTGATAAATAAATTATCTCTCTCCTTATTTGAATGAATTTATTCTATTTTAGTAAAAATTTTTAACAATGTCAACTACAATGTCTACATCTAGACGGTCTCCTTGACACTGCATAGAAAAACTTACCAAAATTGTATAAAATAATTTAAATAAGGAGATAGATAATTTATTTACTAATATTTATGTGGTTATCTCACATGCCACATGTGCACCATGCACATTGTATCATTGGAGATGCTCTAACATTGTAGTGAAATATGACGGCCATTTAAGTATAAATTTAAAACATTGCAAACAAAAACTTTCCCAAAATACTATAAACAAGAGTGGATCGACTAGTTTTCACAAAATCTTTTAGCATATCAATACATTCAGTATGAAAAAAATAGTGAAACCCCTCCAAGAGCTAAACGGGAAGCAATTTCTTATCATTACAAGATGTCACAAAATAACTTGTTTGCGATAACGAAAAATCTTCCTATCACTAGTTTCAGAGGAAAAATAGAAAGGTTAAATATTCCATATCCAAAAAAAGATGTCGATAGAAAATATTTGAATTGGAAAAATATTGATTTTTCTCTTAAAAAAACGAATATTGAGTCCTGGAAAGCTAAAAATAGAAAATGCGAGTACAAGAGACTAGAGAGTCATGTAAACCATTGATCGTGTTGCGCCTTCATACGTCACTTAGGGTGTGTTTGGGAGTTTGGAGAGAATGAGAGGGGAAGACTTTGGAGGTATGTTGTTGGAGGGCAAAGGGAGGAGAGGGTGAGGAAGTCCTTCTTTGTATTTGGGAGTAATAAAATTGGAAGAAGAGGGTTTTTGAATGAATTATAATTAAAATCACTTTGAAATATGACGAATTCAAATCATTGGACTGATATTCATTTTTAATTTAGCTTAAATTATCATCTTGTTAATTATCCTCCAAAACTCTTCAAATTGGGGAAACTTAAAAATTAAGCATTTGGAGGGTTTTGAAGGGTTACAAAAGCCCTCCAAAACCATCCCCTCCATTTTTTAAACTCCCAAACATAAAAAGGAGGGTTCTAAACCCACATTAACCTTTCCCTCCCCTCCAAAACTCAACTCCCAAACACACTCTTAGGTGTAATCTTCAAGTATTAAAAGTCACTAATCCACCGTCTTGCGTCGTTAATCCATTGATACCTTATGCCATTACATTAACCCATCAACTACTTAACCACAAAATTGGTTCTTTGAGGTGTCCAGAAGTGTACTATAAAAAATGTGCCAAAGGTTAAAAAAGGATTAACTAATAGGAGCCAAAAGTTCTTATTTGCAAGCAATTCATAAAAAACAAGTGTGTGCCAGTGTGTGCGCGCATATGAAGGAAATTTCAGATTCCCCTCTGCCAATTCTTGATTCCACCACCGATGAAAGTGGGGGATTTATGAGTAATTCACGAGGTAGGTGGAAAAGAATAAGTCGGGTGATGGTTTGCATTGAAGCAGGGGCAAATGTCGCGTAGTTAGGAGATGATACTAGGCCTTGACTCACCCAAATTTGGAAAAATATTTGATTGTGCCTAAAAAATATAGTAAAAATGTGTCTGAAAAGATTCTTTATATCAATCCAGACTAATTTAGTTCTAGCGATGCCATTGCATATAAGACATGAATGGTTTAAAGATTGATGATGGTTGAAAGCGAATGTTAGGCAACAATAAAAACGTTGAAGCCAGGTTGAAGTCTGAAGGTTGGGCAACAGTAAAGATGTTGAACGAAGATTGACACAAAAGATGCACGAAGAAGTTGATAAGCAAAGTTCAAATAGGGGGTCTTTACCACTATTTCATATCATTCGAATATATTATACACCAAAATTTCTATGTTGCACAGAAACACTAAAATTACGAGGAAACGGGAAATGGGAAACGTCAACTTTTGTTCAAAAAAGGCTTGTTTTAAGAGTTTCCAAAGAGTTTCCGTATAGTTTCCGAAATGGAAATGTGCTATTACCCGAGAGTTTCCATGCTACATAGCACCAAATTTAAATAATTTTGCTATAGGTACCCCATAGTTACCTCATTTCCTACCTCATTAAAATACCCTCCTTTTTTACCACCTCTTTTACCCCTTTCCAAAAATATTTTTCTCTCACATCTCCCACATCCTCTACCCACCTTCTCTCACCTTCTCGTTTCCATCAAAACCCTTCCCAACCTTCGAAGTGCTACAGTGCACGGTTGGGGTAAAGCTTCTTTCCCAGCTTCTTGGATGGATATCATGGGGAAGGATGTATCCGACTTTAGTGATGTGGGTTTTTTGGATGGGTTGACATGGGGAGATGAAGGTGAGAAGGTTGATAAGGTGGGTGACAGTGGTAATCCGCTATCTCCGGTTGCTGTTGAAGTAGAAGCGACTTCAATGGAGGAAGATGATGAAGATTATGACGTCTTGGAGAAGAGTATGTTTTTTTTCCGTCATTTTTGTATTTTGTTTGGCGGACAGACAATTTGGAATTGCAATGTCTGTCCAGCCTAAAATAAACGCGGTGTCATAGTTGTTTGAAGTGAAACTGGTTTTATATTTGTTAGTGTCTCTATATAAATGTGTGTGCTTTTTTTTGGAAACATGGTTGTATTGGTAATGTGAAGATAAATGTGATGAATGAATTACACATGTGAAGACATATGTATATATATTAATGTTTATTCTATGTTATTTTATGCCCAGAACATGTTTGTAGAAATTACTCAATGAATTTTTTGTTGAAATTCAAGACTTTTTTTTTCATTTTTTGTACCTCAGTTTTAATTAGTATTTTTATGGATTTCCAATTTAATATGATATAGTAATTTTTTCCAATTTAATATTTTTAATTGTCTGTCATTTGTTTGTTAGTTGTCTGTATTTGTTTTGAGTTGTCTGTAATGACTTGTCTATCATGTTGTTGTAAGGAGTTTGTAAGAGTTGTGAAGTTGCTAATCATTTTGAGGTGTTAATTAGTTAAAATTTTAGTGTAATTTCTCTAGTTCAAGTTTGTTTTGAGTTTTTTTCCATTTTCAGTCCTTCGACTATCGTGTCGTTGACACTTTTGGTACTTAACTTTTAACTTTTCCAATTTTAATCCTCAATTATGGTGTTAGAGACACTCTTAGTCCTCAATTTTAAAGTTTTCCACATTTAGTCCCCAGAGTATTATCAAATTGACACTTTTAGTCCTTCCATTATGACTTTGACACCATAAGTGGAGGACTAAAAGTGTCGTTATTATAATAGTTGAAGGACCAAATGTGTCACTTGTATGAAAGTCGGAGGACTAAATATGAAAATTTTAAAAGACGGGTACCAAAAATGTCCCTAGCGTAATAGTCGAGCCCTAAATGTGAAAAAATTCAAAGTCGAGTACCAAAAGTGTCAATGACATAATAGTCAGAGGACTAAAAGTGGCAAAAACTCTTTTGAGTTGTTTGTAATGACTTAAAGCCAATTAACTACTTTCTGTCTTAAAGCCATACAAAATTTGTTTATGCCAGACATTAGTAGTCTGGGCCAATGTACTAATTTCTATCTCACAGCCAGACAAAAGTTGTACGTGCCAGACATTAGTAGTGTGGGCCACATTACATGTGTATGCCAAACAGACAGACAAAATATGTCTGGACCAGACAATTACCTTCTGTCCCACTGTTGTGTTTGTTGTTAATTTTTTCTAATGTGAATGTCTTACATTATTTTCAGGCGGCTTCAAAACCAAAAAAACTAGGAAGGAGCCTTATGGAGTGCACACAAGTGAAGCCACAAATGAAATTTATGATTTGACTGTATTAACGCCCTCTATGAATGATATGGCTTGGATTTGAATCTTCGATTATTGTGAATTACCATTGTTTGTAGTTTGGATCGAACAATTAGTTGAAATGTGTAATTACTTATTATGTTAAAAATAATGTATTTGTGTTATGGTATATATCTTTCATAGCTTGACAATTTCAGTCAGCGAGACAGACAAAACGTATACCCTCACAGACAATACGCATACACATCAAGACAACTATGTCATACATATACAGATAATATGCATACACAGACAGACAAAACGTAGTTTAATACACACAAACATGTACAAAAATGTACAACTACATATCCAATTGCCACATTTCTAAAGTTTGCAACATATACAAAAACGCAAACTTAATGTTCCATCCAATTGTTGAACATCGTACAACATTAAACATTAATTATTGTACAATATTCCACACACATCGTACAGTCAGACATATATTCATAAACTGTATCTCTGGAACATGTATTAGGTGGCCCCATGATAGCTTCTTAAATTCCTCCAATTGCTTCTTAGTCAATGCAGACTGCACCAAGGTTCCAGCCTCTTTGAAAAATGAGCACACAGAATACTGGCCTGGAAACTGCTTCGACACAGGAACTTGTAGTTCAAAAGCCCTGTATAATTTCATCCAATACATATCACACATATCAGGCAAATCAGTGACATTACAAAGACCCATTACATATTACAGACAACTCATATACAAGGTCAGACATTTTATATCATATGACAGACAACTACACAGCAGTTTTAAATAATTCAATATAAATGACATATTCTCAACTTCAAAATGAGTTTCTCAAAACCTTGCACACAAACAGAGGCTTTCACAAAGAAAAGAAATGCAATTTCCATCATGACAAACAAAACAAGACAATTATTTGTAAAATTTGCAACTTCAAGAAACTAACTTTTAATTGTAAGCATATGGATGGACAATAAGCATCTCTATACAACATCTTCTTCTTCAGTTATTTTACATGGCTCTATATGTAACACCAACATATATCATTGATATAAATTTGGTAATAAAGAACTAGTCTGGTTTTACTTCACAAAGTAGTTACTTGTCCCAGACTACAAATGTTAGACCCGGACAAATTTTGTCTGGCTACAAATGTCGGGAACAGACAAATTTTATCTGGCTACAAATCCACAAAGTAGTTACTCCATAAAGACTAATATGGAGTATTATGTATATATCTCAATAATAAACAGAAAATTCATTTTAATAAAATGAAATAGTCAAACACTCAAACACAATTTTAAAATAGAAAAATGAACAATAAACATACATGGATATGAATAAAAATTCATTCAATCATTTCAACAAACACCTTATGAGCATAAAAGTGAAATATAATAGTTGAATTAAAATTTAAATAATTAACCTCACAAATCTGGAAAGGAAAGAGGCAAATAAGAGATGTAGCAAAGAGGGAAGAAGTTGTTAACAAGATAAACAGAGTATTACATATGAAATAAAAAACAGATAAGAAAAAAAATGAAGAAAACGGAAAGAAGGGATAGAGAGACATACCAGAAGGGTAAGGTGTAGATAGGAGAGGTAGCAGAGTGGGGAAGACACGGGTTCACTCGTCGCCGGTTTGTGCGGATCTGACACCGTTGCTAACGAAGGATGGCTTTGGGGGTGAGATTTCACCGGAAAGAAGGATGGCTAGCAGGGTGCGGGAGTTGGCGATGGAGATTTAGAAGGGAAAAGAAATGGGGTAGAAATGGGGAGAGGGTAAAAAAATAGGGAAGCTTTTATATGGGGTACAAAATGGGGTAATGTTGAGGTACCTATAGCAAATTTGGAAAAATATTTGATTGTGCCTAAAAAATATAGTAACAACGTGTCTGAAAAGATTCTTTATATCAATCCAGACTAAATTAGTTCTAGCGACGCCATTGCATATAAGACATGAATGGCTTAAAGATTGATGATGGTTGAAAGCGAATGTTAGGCAACAATAAAAACGTCGAAGCCAGGTTGAAGTCTGAAGGTTGAGCAACAGTAAAGATGTTGAACGAAGATTGACACAAAAGATGCACGAAGAAGTTGATAAGCAAAGTTCAAATAGGGAGTCTTTACCACTATTTCATATCATTCGAATATATTATACACCAAAATATCTATGTTGCACAGAAACACTAAAATTACGAGGAAACGGGAAATGGGAAACGTCAACTTTTGTTCAAAAAAGGCTTGTTTTAAGAGTTTTCAAAGAGTTTCCGTATAATTTCCGAAACGGAAATGTGCTATTACCCGAGAGTTTCCGTGCTACATAGCACCAAATTTAAATTATCATCTTGTTACTTTGTAAGTACATATACTACATCCATTCACTATTTTTTGCCCTACTTTTACGCTGTAATGTATTGTTATTTGTTAGGCTTTCCATTTTTGCAACTACCTTTATATGATAGGACATTATAGATATGCTTACTTTCTCATCTTTCCACTTACCTACTTTTCCTACTGTCTTCATCATCTTCTCTGGCCTACTAATACAGTTTGTATCCTTTGTGGGGTGAAAGAGTTGTGAAAGAAGGAAGAAATGATGCGGATGGATAGTGGCACCAAAAAGTGGTGCAAGTGGAAAACAAAAAATAATTTACTTCTTAAAGTTTTGCTCTAGAAAAAAATAAATTGTTGAGACATTCCAAGTCTCCACTGATCTGATTTCCAACCCTTGATAACAAATGTCTTTCGCTAAATCAAGATAGACTCTATAGTTTCTATTTTCTAATATCTTCGACTACCATTTACAAAAGTCTGCTCCACTATACCTGCTCACTAAAGACCCTATTCAATTCCGCCTGTGATTTTCACCAAAATCAATCTCCTCCACTGTCACAAATAGCTGTCAATATTAATTTTTCTGTCAAAGGTCTCTCGCGATACTTGATCCTTTGACCTTTAAGTTAAAGGTTACCTAATAGTTCAACCAAAATGCTACTCGTAGGCACCAGCTTACACACTCGTTTACTCGTGGACAATTGATTTTCATTTTAGTAAAGGAGTTGTCTGTGATCCTGAATTGACTGTAGACAAACAATTCACTTCTTCAGAGTCACGGACAGTTCCCTCTACCAGTGACGGATATGGAATTTAAGTTTTGAGTGTTTAATGTTTATTTACAACTGGAAATTGAAAGAGTAATAAATAATTATACTAAATTCACATGTATGCCTACATGTTTTTCAAAATTTAGGTGTTCATGTGAACTCCTTTGAAAAAGAGAGGTGGACAGACAAATACACTTGAAGTGTAAACGGGCTTGTAAACTGGGTAACACTTTTGTAGTCCAATACCTCTCACCCAATTGGATGTGATGTCATTGGTAAGCTGCTCTTGAACTTAAATGCATATACTTGGTGCATAAAGAGCAGTATTAAGAGATTAAGTCATCCATTCATCATCATCATCTGTTCTTTTATCATTATCAAAGGTGAAATAATATCAAAGGGTACATGCATAGGCCATACATTCATCTGAGTCATCTTATTATTACTATTGATGTAACATAATAATACCAATAGGTTATACATGTTGTGTGTGTGTGTGTGTTAATTGGCTACACTTCTTCTACAACTTCTGATTTCTTCCACATATCAGAGATGGTGGGAAGCTTGACCTCACCAGATCGAGTAAGAGGGATGGTAATATTTCCAACAACAGGAAGGTCAATGATGAGTTTCAACTCAAGCAGATAGTCAATGTCCCAATCTGCACCGATGTCCTTCATCACGCTCACCAACACACTGTGTGGCACATTCACAGGCACATCCAGCACCGTTGTGTCTTTTGCTTTCAGTGAACCTGGATCTCGGATTGTCCCAGAAGCTATCTCCCTGCCGCCCATATTAGTGATGTTTACTAATGTTAGTTCAGAATCTCACAATGACTATTCCTCATTTACAAGGCATTTAACGAATATAGTCTCACTTTTACTTTCGATCAATGTTCAAAGAATCAAAGGTGTTAGGTGCTAGTCAGGCACGAACCCAACACCTCGTGGCTAGGCGGGCGTCTAGGTGGCTAGGTGGGAGACTAGTCGAAGATATATAAATTATAGTTTAATCGATATTTTTGCATAAATATGATTAGTAATGTTGTGTTTGCTTGTATATATACACACACATAAACATTTACATGCATGAATGACAAGTTATCACATTTAATATTATACTAGTATTATACATACTCATTTAACTTCATTATGTAATAAATAATACGGAGTGTTAAATAATAACAATATTTAAGATTATATACAAACATGTACTTCCTATAATTTTTATCTTAATCTACAACTAGTAACTTTCGTCATATATGTTCTTAAAGTTAGACGTGCATATATATTTTAGAAAACCAAAATAAAAAAAGCACAAAAAACAACGTTCGGTCAATCTACACATCCTAAGAGGCCGACTAAGCACTCTGGGCAGTCAACTAAGCGCCTTAAACCATCGAATAATTCACCTAAGTGCGAAACTAATTAGTCAGAAAGCCCCGGCTACTTTATTCATGAAACATATCATAAATGTAGTCTCTCTGATGGGTAAGTTTGGGGAAGAATAATTTAAATATTCCAAACTTGTACTTAGCATATGCAATATTTATATCTTAAACTTTGTGTAAAAAAACTACTCCCTATCTAACACCAATTATACTACGTATTTTTTATTATAGAAGTAGATTTATGGTGTTAAATGCGAGAATTCAGTTAACATTCTCAGCTTGTATTTGTAAAATAAAGGAATTTTATCAATTCAGGACCCAAAAGATAGACGAATTATCAATTCAGGACCTAAAAGATGAGATCTATCGGTATAGGATCCGAATGATGAAAAACTGTCAATCTAGGACCTAAAATTTCATAGGTTTTGATTTATTTAATTTTTTATTAATTCCATTGCTAATTTTTGATAAACTTTTCTTCACAAAAGTTTATTTGTTTCATAAAATAAATAATATTTTAAAAAATTTAAGATAAAAAAATTAATAAAATTTCGGACGGCTTAGGTCCTAAATTGATAATTTTCAATCATTCAAGTCCTAACTTGATAGTTTTCCATCATTTGGGTCTTATATCGATACATTTCATCTTTCAGGTCCCAGATTGATAATTCATCTATCTTTCGGATTCTGAATTGATAAAATTCCTAAAATAAATAATACGCAGTATGACATTCAGTTTATGTAATTGAACACTTTTATAAGATCTAATTTTATTAATAAATAAAATCTAATCAAACAAGAATCTTTCAAAAATGTAAAAGTGTGAATACATTAAAGGAAAAATGGACAAAAATAATCACAGCGATTCTTGATCTGCTTGAAATAATCTAAATTATCAATCATCTCATATAATCTCAACTATTGAAAAATCTTCTCAAAATACTCCGATGACTTATAATTACTCCACTTCATGAGTAAGTGGAGTAATTTGAGAAATAACCCATTTACTCATAAATATTACTCCCTCCGTCCCTTAAAACTTTGTCGTTTTTCCTTTTTTGGACGTCCCAAAAAAATTTGTCACTTTCCTTTTTAATCAATTATTTTGTGGTTTCTGCTATTTCTCTCTCCTCTGCACAAACCTCAACCACACAGTTTTTACTTTATTATTCTCCGTGCCGGTCAACTTTGGCAAAGTTTTAAGGGACGAAGGTAGTATAAGTTATTTACCGATAATTATAAGTCACCGGAGTATTTTGAGAAGATTTTTCAATAGTTGGGATTACTTTGAGATAATTGATACTTTGTATTATTTTAATCACATCACCAATAGTTGGGATTATTCTTGTCAATTATTCCTACATTAAAAATGGCTCATACTTTCTTGATCCTTTAATAGTTGAAATATTTTGATTTTTACGCTATTTAATTTAATTTGAGTGACTTGCATTTCCATAGACATGTGAAGGTAGACTAGAACTACTCTCTCTGTCCCATAATTAACTTCGGTTTTGATTGGGCACGGGGATTAAGATAGTGAGATTTGTGTGGTGGAAAGTTGCGCAGAGGAGAGAAATGTGTAAGAATGATTGTGAACCACATATTCTTTATCAAACAGGGAAAGAGGACATAAATTTGGGACGGACCGAAAAGGAAAGAATGAAGATAATTTCGGGACGGAGGGAGTACAATTTATGACCACAGGACTACAGGAATGCTAAAAAGGCTGAAAGCCCTTGAAGACTCTACCAAACAAGGCAAGAGTAACATTCTTTTTTAATTTATTAAATTACTCCGTATGAAACAAAAGGGTCTTGGAAGTTGCGGAAAATCCAGATGAGAACATAAGTCAGTTCAAAATTGAAACCTAAAATTCAATTTGGATCAGCATGTGCGATTCGAAATCAAACGCAGTTCATCTAGCAGGATCAAATACTAATCAAAGAAAACAATCTTCAGGAAACGGCAGAACAACAAAGGATGAAGAGGAGAATGAAGAAAGAAATTAAACCTGGTAGCACTTTTGAGGACGTATTGGATCTCGCAGATGGGAATGGACAAGGGGTAGGGGTTCTTGACGTTGACTATAGCCTGATAGGAAACGCTGCCCAGCGAAATAGCGCCAATATTAACGTCGGCGATGCTTGCCTCCGGCATCGGGATTTCCGACAGCTTTTCTCCGACGAATTGTGTTGCCTTATCAATTAGATCCATCTTTCTTCCTCGATCTCTCTCACTCCCTCGCCCAATTATGAGTATATCAGTATGAAATACGGCGTATATGTATTTATAACGATAATGATGATTTACTCCCTCCATACACAATTACTGTAGTTTTTATTGAAAAGACTCAAAAGAGTACAGTTGCTTATCATAATAAATCATAATAAAATAAAATGTTGCCAAAACTAAAAAGAATTGCACTATCCCAAAATTGAATGATAATACAAGTCCAATGGTGATCAACTGATCAATCCACTTTTTTTTTACAATTCAACACAATTTTATTATGATTTCTATAAAATATTAATGGAATTTTCTTCCAGGATCTAGAAGATATTAAATGAACTATTAATTTGGTACTTGATGAATGTCATTACTTTTTATTTTAGAATTTTTATATGTTATTCACTTTTATTAAACTAATAAACTTTTGTGAATATAAATTCATCAAAATCAGCAAAAGAATTAATAAAAATAAGTCAAAACTCATAATAATTTAGGTTTTGGATAGGGTTGTTTTCAATCAGATCTTACATCGACACATTTAATGTTTCAAGTTCTGAATTGATAATTCATCTATCTTTTACATCTTGAATTGATAAAATTTTAATTTTCAATTTTTACTTCCAACTATTGTTATGTTAGCAACAAGTAAACTTTTTCATTGCTCATCTCAAAAATCGCAATGACGTGATTATTATCCCGAGACGCGGAAGGTTGTAGAAAATAAACGAACAACTAGGAAAGAAGGATAATTTTTTGATGAATTTATTGAACATCTTCTTCATTAAATCTAGTTTACTCATACCAAATTTCAGGTAAAAATTCAACCGGAAAGATAATCAAATGATTTTCTGAAATATACTGCGCTGAAAAAGGACGTAGGTTCAAGTCACTTTGAAAGCATTTAATCCATTTATTGTGTACTCCACATGCACCAGTACGGTCAAATAAAAAGGAGTCTTATGTATGCATTCCCAAAAATCCAAAATACAGTACTTTGGTTGAGTGGATGAAAATAAGGGTTTCGGAAACCCCTGTTCCCATTGGGATGATGGGGGTGGTTAGGTTGGCTCGGAGGAGGATGAGGGAGGCGCTATGGTTAATGTAAAATCCCATTTTTCTTTTAAATGATATAACTTTTTTATTTGTATTTCAATTTTTACATAAAAATATATTAAAATTCATAATTTTTATTATCTTTCATATGATGACAATAGTAATGCATATATAAAGTTCTTTTTTAAAAAGTAAAGTTTCAACAATATGAGGTTTTCAAATTCAAAAAATTTCTTAATTAGACCCAAAAGCTAAAATTAAAATCTCAATTTCAAAATAATTGAAACATGTAAAAAAGTTATTTTAACAATTAGATCTTAATTTGAGCAATTGAATGTATTTATGAAAAATTTTGGATCTGAAAAACTTTCTACAGATGAAACTTTAAAAAATAAATTAAACTTTATATACGGAATATTGGAGTCATTTAAAAGGTGATTAATAATTATGAATTTTGATATATTTTTTGTAAAATTTGGAGTAAAAATAAAAAACTTACATCTCTTAATAAATAAATGTGATTTTACATTTTTTCAAACCCTCCCCCCTCCCGGTGAACCTACCCCCTCCCACCCAACCTAATCATCCTAATCAGAAGCCCCATTTTTAATTTGAATCCCGCTTTCTTAGAAAACCTAGGCATACTCCCCTATTGTTCCAAAAGGTTGAATCTCCCACCCCAGGAGCTCCCACCCTGACCCGACAGGATGGTGGGGAGGTTAGTCACGGTGACTCAGTCAGCAGAATGATAGTAGGCACATACACCCGTGCGCACCAGAGGCCCAACCTTATTTCAGGTTCTGTGACCTCCACTCGGTCGCTGCGAGGATTCAAACCTTGGTTCATTGTTCCAAATCTCCCACCACTCGACCAACTGAGCTACCCGTGCGGGTAGGCATACTCCCCTATTTTTGCGTTGGAGGTTGGCTTTTCCCGTATTCCTAGAAAACACCCCACTTGTCCTTCAAACCTGATTCCACTCCACGCCTTTCACGAGGGTGTTTGGTAACCGCATTTCAGTCGAAAAATGAAGATTTGATACTTTTAGTGTTTTCAATAAGCGAAAAAGTTATTCGGTACATAGCGGTTTGGCACTAACATTTTTGGATGAAAATGCTGAAGTGAAAACGTTGAAAATAGGAGAGTTGGATTCTTGTTTTGAAAATATGGCGTTTTCTATTGATTTATAGTCAAACAACTAAATTACCAAACATCTTCTGATAGCCCGTCAACTTGTTCCGCTAGTCAAACCCGCTGACTGAAAACGCAATTGACAATCCACTTACATAATACGTCAACCACTAGCCGCTAAATGCCAACACGTCCCATGTATCTTTTACAACATTTGTCACATTTTTTAGTGATGTAAGAATATGTTTGAAACAAATAGGTGAAATAGCTGAAAAAAGTACTTTTATGAGATTTTTAATAATCGTGAACTTTACTAACCAAAAAGATTTTAAAAGTAAAAAGGTTATAATTGTTTAAAATAATAATTCTCCCAAGACTAACGCTTTGTTGACTTGTTGTCATTGACATTTGCTTTCCCATTGAGTCAATAACGGGGGGACCAATGTGTTCCAATTTGGCCGGGGACTCCAAGGAAGCAAATAGGGCATCCATGATCCATATGAGTATCAATGTCACATTACGAAATACGAAGCCTTATCTATGTCGATTGGAATTGTATTTGAAGTGAGAAAAAACTCTTGTGTCCTGCGCAACCCAAACAAATTAGAAAAATGATAGATGTACAAACACACTTACAAAAAACTTGCAAACAAGTTATGTGGCTATTCTAATTACCATTTAGGGATGGACTCGGGCCGGGTGGCCCGACCCGGAACCGGCCCGGGACCGGTACTGTTCCAGCCCGGCCCGACCCGGTGACCCGGTCAGTGACCGGTCCGGGTAGGCCCGGCCCGTGGGTTTTCCAGTCCGAGCTCGGGTCACCCAAAACAAGGCCCGACCCGGCTGAGCCCAGGCCCGGTTCGGGCCAAAAACTTTTTTTTTTCAATTTTTTTTAAATTTTCGGGTTGGGCTGGGTATTTTGGGCCATTTGGGGTGGTTTGGGGGGTTGGGGGTGGGAGGGGGGTTAATTAGGAAGAGGAAAACAAAACAAAAAATATAATGGGTCCGGCCCGGACCCAGACCGGACCCGGTGGTTACCCGGCCCGGACCGGACCCGGTGGTTACCCGGCCCGGACCGGACCCGGTGGTTACCCGGTCCGGTCCCGGGTCCACCATTTCTGACCCGCCGGCCCGCCCGGGCCTAGGCCCGGCCCGGACCCGGCCCGGACCCGAGTCCATCCCTATTACCATTGATGTAAAAGTGTTGTAAATGTGATGTGTTATATAATGTGATGATGCCGCATACCTCTTTTTAAGACTTTTTGTAAAAGTTTTTGTACCTCTGACATAACTCAACAAATTAGGTTTGGTCAAAAACTAGGACCATACCTACTTACCTAGTTCCAGTTCCAGAACCAAAGCAAATCTGGGTGGGCCGGTGGGTAAAAGCGTCACACATGAGTTCGTTTTTTCTGTCCGGACCAGAATCAGTCCAATACTCCAAATCTCCAATAGTCCAATGTGGTTACAATTCTTCCAAAATACAAAGAGGACTCGAACAGAAAACAACGATTTTTTGGAAGATAGGCTAAAATCCCAGAAACAAACTGGCACCAGCTCGGACCAACCCCTTGTCAAAAGCTGGTTGGGAACACCAAAATCCACATAAACGATTAACAAAATAATCAATAATTAATCCATCACGAATTGCATTTATGACACCTTTATAGGCTTATTATAGCTGCTGCTAATGAGGAAAAAATGAAATGAGGTAAACAATCGCTATCCAAATAGCCTTCAAAATCAATTTGAGTAACATAAAAATCAACCTCCCAAAAGCCTTACTTCTGAGTGAGGACTTGCTCGGTTTGTTTGATTTGGTTAGGGTACCAACAAATCAACCACTACCCAATAACTGAAAACAAATCCACCTCGTCAAGGATCAATAGAAAGACAAGAAGGTTGTTACGGCTAATCCATGTTCGGCAACATCCATAAAAGCCACCAACATTTAAAGCACAATCTCAACTGTTCTCTTCCGCCAAACATCAGCTGATGATCATCTTGTTCAGAAACTCCACTTGTTCCGGAAAGTACTCTAACAACTCATCCTTTGTCACCCAAACATAATCATCACACTTATGAACATCAAGCTTGTTAGCTGCAATCACTTGTGATTTGAAGAAGTAGCGCTGCCAGTTTGAATAGGGAAAAAATAAGAAAACTTGGGATGATGCCATGGCAGAGAAGTGGGGTTTAATCCACCAAACCCCTTCGTGAAATATAAATTCAGCGCATTAGCCTCCTGTGATTTAAAAAATGCATCAAACCCCCCTGTGTTATCATTAATCATGCGCCAAACCCCCTCCAAGAACAAATTTAATTTCAAAAATGATGTAAAATGATTAGTTTTTATTGAATAATTTAGAAATTTTAACAAAGTTACTTGCATATTCAACCATATTATTAAAAAAAAGTGATTTCAAAATTGTAAAATTTATTCTTGAAGGGGATTTTGCGCATGATTAATTAAAACACATGTGAGTTTGACGCATTTTTTAAATCACAGAGACTAATGCGCCGAATTTATATTTCACGAGGGGGTTTGGTGCATTTAACCCCAGAGAAGTGCTAGAGACAAGATTACAGTAATGCAAGAAAAACCAAGTTCGATGATCTAAGAGCACTGAACATTTATTCCATTAACATTTGTTACTCCGTCAAAGTCACAATAGTTCTGGGGCTGTTTTGGAATAAATAATTCGACCAATACATTGCGAGCAATTAGGTTCACTAACCTTTAGACATGGTTGTACTGGCTCATTATCATTCTCACCAAGCTGTGTAACCATATGTCCCATTGGAGCATTGCCGACAAAATAAGTGTGAGAAAGGTCTCCAATCACAGATTTTAATGCTGACTCCGCACACTGGAAATGTACCAAAAAATATTTTATATGTTTTCCTATTGTAGAATTCCATGTCTATATTGAGTATTATATGCATTATTGAAGTGATAACTAATACCCTGCGGAGAGTCTCTTCTGATTCATATGCTTTTTCTGGGAAATGCCAAACAGGCTTCCCACCAGAAAGCGTCTTCCCGTGCAGGAGAAGATAGAGCCTTCTGTCAAGTGCTCTGTTCAACGACCTAAAGTAAATCATTGATCAACAATAAGCAGTCACCCAAGTCCAGTGAGGAAATACAAATATGCTACAGTACATAAATACAACAATTTCATAACACTGAAAATTATCGTTCACGTTGCTCACATTGAAATGATCCCTTTAGGCTTTCAAAAAATTATTCAGCAGTTGAGCTATTTTGATATAATAGTAAGAGTGTACAGGAGAGCTGAAAATTAGATTCTCTTTTCTATTAATTGGTCACAATCAAAATGAATTTTCCTTTGGTTAAAGTATATCGTTTATTGATTTTGAAATACTAACTTTGGTTTGGATGCAGCAAAATATTGCCTCAGGGTACAATAGGTTGAAAACAACTGAAAAAATAAAATTATCTGTTGAAGATAGTAATAAGCTAAAAAATCAGATTCAAGAAAACATAGGTTTTTCAATAAAAATAAAATGCGCCTTATCCCTAAGCCCAACCAGAATACTTACTTTTTGTCATTACTTTTATCAGCCTCAGTGATCCGAGGAGCTGGTGTATAATCAATATTGTATTCGCCTTTTCCTCTGGGACAAAGCATTAATGCAATCATTCATATCATTCATACAGTTTAATAGAAATTCAATTTGTGAAAAAAATCCATCCAACAATTAGCAGCACATTAGAACATAAATAACTCCTCCTGTTAACAAATAAGTGTGGTTTTGGAGGAATTTTTTATTCACACACATAATGCATTAGTTTATAAAACCAAGACTGTTTTGAATACTATTTTTTCATTTTTAAGCTTCTATGCAAAATTATAATTCAAGGACAACTAAATGTAAGGTGCAGTTTTGTACTCCCAATGATAATCCATTTAATAACCCCATAATCTGGTCAATTCTTCTAAAATGACATTCATTTGAACAAGAGGGACTTATAATACAACAACAACAACAACAACCAAGCCTTAGTCCCAAAAGATATTGGGGTCGGCTAACATGAATCGATACATGATATCACGGACTTATAATACAAACGGAAATAAAAATGTCTGATGCATTAAAAAAAAGGAATGTCAATAATAGCAAGAGGGTTTACTTTCACTAGTTCATAAAGCCTGAAACTCCTTGCAACAACGCAGCAATAAGACCACTAGGCACATTAACACAAGTATAATCCAGAAAGTAGACGAAAAAACAACTTTATCTAACCAAACAAAAAGTACCTGGACTCGGCCCTTTTCAATAATTTCTCAGGATACTCTCTTCTATATTGTTGCCTCCATCGGAACCTAAAATGCAATTAGACAAGGATTACCGAAAAAAATCATACCCACTTATCCCCTTAGCATTCCCAGTAAAGTATTCTTCCTTGTTATGTTTATGAAGGAAGAATAACAGATTACAAAACATAAGAACGCCTAGAAATTTATTCCACCAAGTTCATTTTCCACAACAGTCTATAAAAAATAATACTCTCCATCCTTTAAGCCACAGCCAACTTTAACTTTCTTGGTCATTGGTGGTAAAAAACTGGCCTATAATTTTGATTTTTTAAAAGTAAAAGTTTTGTACTTTTAAGAGTACTTTTAAGTTTTAACACACAGCATTTTTATATTATAAATAATGTTGTATACAAATATACCGTTGATCAAAGATTAACATCATTGACTAAGAAAGCCAGCGATGACTAAGTTTCAAGGGATGGAGGGAATCAGCCAATCAGGGAATACAAAGTGTTTGCATTATAATATTCAAACATCATTCTCGTATAGTGAATTGAGAACTGAAATGAAGGTTCGAAAGAATCTCACGAAAACTCTTGAAAAGCATAAACAATGGGATCGATCTTGGGAACCACAACTGGAAGCCTCTCAAAGAGGACAGATGCTACAACTTTATCACCGCCAGAAGATGTGCTGAACGGCCGTTTTGCCAACAAAGGTAGGCCAGAATACCTCCGCATTTCGGCAACCTATGAAATGCCAAAATAATAAAAATGAAAACTTGTATCCATTAAAAAATGCAAAGTTCACTTGACTTGAATTTTTTATGAGTGCTTGTGCTTTGTAGAGATGTATCTATTAGTATATAAAAGCAGAAGACATTTTCCATTAGTGTTCCCGCCTAATGAGCTCCATGGGGAAAACACTGTTTATGGTAGAGAAAAAACTCCACAGAAAATGTGAATAATAATGTAAAACAAAAAGGCCCATTCTGTGTGATATCAGGCATCTACCTCTTGAGCCATGGGCTAAGCTATGATATCACACCACCATAAGTGCAAAGGCACAAACAACACAAATGAGCCATAGTAAGTTCCCCAATAAATAGTAGCAATGTGTTGCCAAATGAGCACAACTGAGGAACCCTTACAATTTAAAAGTCTTACCAAACAACACAAAAAGCAAAAACGTTTCAAAACAATTACTCTAAAGAAGTCCAGACGATACACACATCGCTTATTTGAATAATTTTAAAATTTCCGACAAATTAAAAATCCAGAAAAGTATAATAATGTTATATTTTTAGTCCGAATACATGGGGAGTGATATCGCACAATAAATCAAAAAATCCACTTCGATTTTTATTATAACCCCTAAATTAGAAACAGAAAAAGGGTGGACAAGAGGTTATTGATAAAAAAAAAAGTGAATGATATTAATTTCACCTTCTCTGAGCTAGAATCGAGGTTTGAATGGTTAGGCAGATGAATCTGACATCGAACGGCGTATGTCAGGGAGCTCTTATATTCGGCTTCCTTCCGAGTGCCAATGTGGGGGGTAAGATAAGTGAAGGAGAAGCATAAAACAGAACATGCTAGAGTCAGCTACTGAGTGGATTTACTGATTTAGATGCATTTATTTAATACAGATGCTTTTAAGACTGATACTGATCCAGGATTCCGGGATGAAGCTAAATATACGAAGTATATCATTTTTAAAGGTTTAGATCTATATTCAAGACCCACGGGTAACCAAACTTGAACCCATTCAAATCATAGGTTCGAATCTGAATCTGAGTCTAAAAACTGAAAGATTTTAACTACATGTCTTTATTTTTATATAAATTCAAATTCATTTTAAATTGACACATAGCTTAAATAAATGAAACATTACAAGTTATAAAAAGTATACATATTCACTTTACGACATTGAGTTGTTACAATTTCAATGCAATATACGGAGTATATTCAATATTAGAATATTAATGCAATGTAAACAAAAAAAATCATTTCAATGCAGGACTAATAAGTAAAGTAGATAATTATCTTTATTCATATTCTTATTCTTATAGTTATATATACATATCTATTGAATCTAAGTATTTATAGCACAACTTTTGAAGATAACAATTTCAAATGTAAACTACTATACATTTATATAAACTTATTTATTTATAATGGATCTAGAAAGTTACAATAGAGTGGAGTACTGGACTAAGAAATAGAATTACGCGTAAAATTGTAGGATTCATATATAACAATACTTTAAATATTACCAAAACATCATTGAAGTGTCCGGACTCCATTCACTAGTTTGACAATCCAATTTCTAATAGAATGACGAAATCAACGTCTTTCCTTTCTTAAAAATAGGTCGATCATCCATTCTAAAATATATAACAATTTAATTATTACTAAAAATGAATTAAATATTTATATAAAACCAATACCTCATAATGTAATACGGAGTAAGTAATAACTATAGTGTGTTTTAGCATTTCAATTAATTCACAATTTAATAATTCAATGTAAATACTTAATTCTTTCTTATATGCCCAAACAACAAGCAAATCATTCCCTAATCTATAATTGTGTTATAATATACAAGGAATGAAATTATGAATAACACTTTGAACTAAACTTACAGTCATTTTAAACACCATTTTATCACAAATTCACAATTACAATAATGAAATATTGAAAGAAATGAAGAAGTACTTAAAAATCAACTATTCAAATATCATTCTATCAAGTATTCAAGTTGTTCGTATGAAGTACCAGGCGAATGGCTGCAATTGGGATTTGGGAATTTGTCAATTTGAGATAACTATTAACAAAGCGTCAGCCAGCTATCCGCAGGCAGCAACTCTGACTATCTAAACATGTCGCATCGTCACGAGCAGGTCGCAAACCTCGCAGGAAGTTGCAGCTCACAGCCGGCAAGCGGCGGCACTAAGCAGGTCACAGGTCGCAAGTCGGTGGAAGATTTACGCAGGGAGTCCTGGGCTTTGAAAAAAATATTAATTTGCTATGGGCTGAAAATCATTTTTAGAGGGCAATTTGTCTAAAAAATGTGTAAACACAACACGGATTCGTGTGTAAAAAATGTGTATACATAGCCTCTTTTTTATGGCAAAAATACTTTTGGTACACACTTTTTGAAGTACACACTTTTACACACTATCTGTGTAAATTTTTTTTTTGTCTTTACAGATAAAACGTATTTTGATGAAAACACGTTTTGTGTGTACAAACAAAAAAAGTCTACATAGACAGTGTGTACAGAGGCGTAGCCAAGACGGACAGTCACCCGGGACCAACTATACACTAAAAACATTATACGAAGTATTAAAATTTTAAAAGCGTAACTAGTGTGAAAATAATGATTAAAATCTATTAAAAATTCGGTTGATAAGGTCCAATCACCAAATAAGATCATCTAATTTCATCTCTTTTCTCTAAGAGTTAATCACTTATCGTTTTTCGTTTTCTTGGATCCCGTGCAATTACAAGTGAATCAAAAACTAATTCCTCTTGAGCGGATGAAATATTAGGAGTTTCAATAAAGACATTTAACTCTTATCTATTTTGTGTGCTTGTCTATTTTTGCCTTTTTGGAGGTAGATTGAGGAGCCATACCTACTAAAATTAGCAAAAAAAATAAAAAACTAATCAATACGTATTATTTTATTTTAATTCAAACAATTCATATTAATATTTTAAGAAATTCACAATCACATTTGACATTCCTAATTTTCCATTTCGTAATTCAAAGCACACAAATCAATTGTACACACTAACACAAACTAAAATAACATTTAAAACCCTTAAATTAAACTAGAAACCATAAGAAAAAAAGAAACTATTACCTTAGGACCTTAGGCTGAGTCGACACTGGAGTCCTCCAGAGAAGCCACTCAATAGCAATAGGGTTATGCCTCCCCAATGACCTCAAATAGCCCGATCTTTGGGTTCGGAAGAAGAGCAGAGTCTTCCTCAGAGCATCAGCCTGCACAGAAGCACAGGAGCATCTCGAGAGCGGCAAAGGGTGGGCGTTCGGCCTCCAGAGGTGAGAGCAGCAGATCGATTAAGCGGCTGAGAGGTGCGTCCGGTGAATTAAAATCCCAGTGTGAAAGTGTGTACCCAAAAAGTGTGTAACTCAAGTCCAACTCCTTTTTTTGAGGTAAGGCTATTAACATTTGACAATTCCAATTAGGAAATTTATCAATTCATGACTTGAAAAATAGATGAATTTTCAATCCGAAACTCGAAAAATTAAATGTATCGGTATAAGACTCGTATAATGGAAAACTATCAATTTAGGACCTCACATTTCATAGGTTTTGATTTATTTAAAGACAGATGGTATAGCATCTCAGACTCCCATTGCTTCGGTTTCCGCCGCTGTCCAACTAGCTAGCTCGGAGTCGGACACGCCCCACGCCTTGACAAACTCTGCGTGATTGTTCCGTGCTACCCATCCCCAAGCTCGGGTGTTGCCTCCTTGATCAACTGCGCCATCAACATTTATATTAATATATAGCCATTCTCCGGTCTCTGCCAAGCTGCCGACGAGCTATTATTACTTCTTCTCGGCCCCGACTTGCCCCTATCCTGCGCATCCCTCCAGCTCGCAACCACTCTTGCCGCCGCATTGAGGACTCTCGTTGTGCCTTGCCATATGTCCCTCCAGACGCACATGTTCCTTCTCTTCCATATACTCCATAAGATAGAGATGAACCTGCAACGGGTTTTGTTGTCTGCCACCTCAAGCTGCTGCCATATCCACGTACTCGTTGGATCCACATACTCATAATAACTTATAGTCACGTTTTTGTCTATAGATTTTTTATTAATAATATTTTAGGAAAACCCTCTTTTAAATATGTAAACTTCCTCTATAAATATAAAGTACTCCATATATTTTCTAAAGAAAGCATTTATATTGTCATTAATCTATCAGCATAAACTACAGAAGTAAACATGATATGCGGCGGAAGAAGTTTTAGGGTATATCATTTTATCTATTTTGAGCTACGGAGTACAATGTAATAAATATATTTATGTGTACCATTTTCCTTGATTCAATAAATTCAACTAATTCACTTTTCCAATTGAGATTTATATAAAATTTGTACTAATTCATCCTATTAAAAATCTTGTTTCACTATTATGAACATATTAATTTTACCAAATAGATTTTTTTAATAGAATCTTTTATTATTTTTCTCATTATGTTATGTAATAATAAAAATAAGTAAAATTATATAGTACAGAGCATTTTATAACATGACAAATTAAGCATTATTTGAATTAATATTTCTAGGGTTTAATAATAAAAATTATTCTAAATATAATTAATTCACAACTCAACACGTTCACTCATAAATTTTTCAATTTTAACACACATTGATGTATTCATACAATTCAAAGCTTACAAACAACCCTTAACACATTCACTCTTAAATTCAATTTTAACACACATTAATATATTTGTACAATGTAATGCTTACAAACAATTCTTAACTGTACCCATGCCATGAAAACAAATATTTATCAATTAATGACTTGAAAGATGAATGAATTATCAATCTGAGACTCGAAAAATTCAATGTATCGGTATAGGACTCGAATGATGGAAAAGTATCAATTTAGGACCTAAATAATAGTTTATATTGTATTGCTAATTTTTGATAAACTTTTCTTCACAAACGTTTATTAGTTTAATAAAACTAAATAATATTTAAAATTCTGATAATAAAAAAATAATAAAACTCATGACAACTTAGGTCCTAGATTAATGATTTTCAATGGTTCAGGACCTAAATTGATGGGTTTTCATCATTAAGTCTTATATCGATGCATTTCATGTTTGAGGTTCCACATTGATATTTGCCTGTCTTTTAGGTCATGAAGTCCTAAAATTCCCTTTTTTAAAGGGGCATATATTAACTACTACTACCTTCATCCCACTAATATTGAGACGCAAAGGGGTGACATGATTATTAAGAAAAGTAATTTTATGTAGTTTATATTAATTGCTAAAGTAGGAATAAAGTAAGAATGATTTAGAGCTACACAAACTTTATGAGACATTTTTAGTCGGATTTTCTGAAAAGGTAAAATGAGACAATATTAGCGTCATGAAGGGAATAGTTACTCTTAAAAAAGGTTAGATGCTTGATTCTACCTACTCCGTAGTCCATACTACGTAAACGACACGGTCATGTGGTTTATCATGTGATTATTTGTGAACAGAAAAGCGTAACTAGTCTATTTTTGAAAAGAAAATTAAGAAATAAAAAAGTGATACGAGTACTATTTTCCCTTTTGAACTTAATAGTATATCACTAGTGGATGCAAGGTAGAATATTTTGCAAAATTTAATGATTATTAATGATTAATTAAATTTAATGACATTCTATTAATGAGATAAATAGATAATGTAACTATATACTAATAAATAGCAACTATTTAATGAAATATCATGTCTAAGTAGGAAAAAAGAATGCCAAATGTAAAATAAATTCACTAGAATAAGTAGAACATGTTGGGTGTAATCTAGAAAAACAAAGAAATATTAATTAAATAAAATAGCCAAAGAAAAATGGAAAGTGAATGGAACAGAAATTAGATTGAGCTCGTGCAACGCACGATGTCCTTAAAACGTATTCGTCGCCTCCCACGGTGCTAGGAGCGTTGCAACGACCGTTTCCCAGGATACGGTGGCTAACGAAAGATCGTTTGAGCACACAAACGAAAGTTTCGGCAAACGAAAACCAAGGTAGAACACTTAGGAAATTTTCAGAAAGCTGGAGGTGTTTTAGAGGTCAAAAATACGTGCAGGTGGTGTATGATTGCATGTGTTGTTGCAAAGCACCTGCCAGCTATTTATAGGAGGATTTGTTGTGTGTTAAAGGAGAGTTAAGGGACCTGAACATTGGACATCAATGACCAGTCCGTTGGGCATTGAATCGTCCATGAACTGCTCTCTGGTCTTCTGTCCGTAAGCCACCAGAACTGCTATGTGGTCTTCTGTTCAGAAGCCACCAGAACACCCATGTGGTCTTCTAGTTCTGAAGCCTTTCCACAAAGTCGTCTCTTCATATTTTAGTATCTGCTTATTTGTATGATCAGTATTGGTTCGGATTTGATTTACTTTAAGATATGATGAATATTAAAGTAAATTCTAACATCTTATTTTAGTATAATTTTTCTTGTATAGATATTTAGTTGAAATTAAATTTTAACCGGACCCGACCCGTGACCCGGGCGGGTGGCCCGGCCCGAACCGGACCCGTCCAACCCTCGGGCCGGTCCCGGGCCCATGTCATACAAACCGGCGGCCCGACCAGGCCTAGGTCCGGCCCGGGCCCGACCCGGCCCGAGTCCATCACTAGGTAAACTAGATAGATAGGGATGGAAAAGTTAATAAATACTCGTAATAAATATCTTCATTAAAAATATGTTCAAGTATTCAAGCTAGTCTGAAATTAACTCGTTTATCTCACAGCCCTATTGTCTGATCTGACTGTTACAACTATTTTTTCGAAAAGATTTTTACTTCTCTTAACCAAAACGAAGTCATATTGTGTTATCGTGGGGTCTTGTGCAGTGTTAGTGCTACAAATAGGGATGGACTGGGCCGGGCCGAACCGGCCCGGAACCGAACCGGCCCTGTACTGTTTGGACCCGGACCGGACCGGGACCGGTTGGCCGGTTCCGGGCTTTTAGCCCGTTTGGGCAGGTCGGGCGGTTCGGGCCGGGCCCGAGTCTTTTTTTTTTCAATTTTTTTTCTTTTCCTAGGCTAGGGCTGGGTGTTTTGGGGAGGTTTGGGGGTGGGGGTGAGGGGGGGGGGGTCGGGGATAACAAGAAAGCAAAAAAAAAATAGACATCGAATCGGGCTCGGCCCGGCCCGGTTAGGCCCGGACCCGGTATCAACCCGGGCTGGTTCCGGGGCCATGAATTTGCAAAAAAAGCCCGCTCGGGCCCGGCCCGGAACTGGAACCGGACCGGCCCGGGTCCATCCCTAGCTACAAAGTCCTCGTTCTTTTGATGGACAACCGTAACCTCTACAGATATATGAGGAATTTGTTGAAGTGTTGGAGTCGCAAGAAGCAGTCTTTGGTGATCGATTGACTGTCAGACAGGTTTAAATCGTCTATTACTAGGTGAATGAAATGCATATGTGAATATGTAGTACACACCTTTGGTTCCAAATGGTAGATTATTTTGGCTATATTTTTATTTGACTTTTGATTTGCAAGGTATGATGATGATGATAATCATATTGACATTGTATTTTGGAGGCATTAAAGTTGTACCAGCTTTACCATATTTTAAGTTTTATTTAATCTAATCTTTCCTGAGTAATTGCACGCATTTTTTAAGGATCCGTTTGGGGAGTACGTCGTTTCCTCTTGTGATGGTTATTAATAAAAAAGAACGATTCAGATTGTAATAATGAACCAGTAAAGAAGAAAGAACCGTTGGAATTAATTCAAAACGACCAAAAAAGAGAAAATATTTAAGCCCCAACCTGACCCGGTCCCAATACAAACCCGAACTGACTCATCCACCCCTAAGCTGAAGTGATGCATCTATTGTAGGGTTTTTGGACTTTTGTGACTGTACAACAACATTCAAATTTTGTTTCCAAAAAAATTGGGTTTGGCTAACACAAATTTTTGATAATAAACGACTTATAATAATATTAAGAAAACATGCCAAATAACTGTTGACTAACATGAATTGGATCGTGTTAGAGCCAAAAAGAAAAGAAAAATAAAAAGATAAGTCAAGATAAAAAAGATTTACATAATAAGATCTACAATGGTTGATTCGGTATCGACAAAAGTGTCACATATCAGATCTATACTTGATCCAAAACTTTTGAAGTTTCTCGTTCCAATCATAAATGAATATGAAATATTTAGGCTAAATCCGGTTGGACCATAATTAAAAAATAATAATAATTTTTAAATATATTTCTATCCAAAATATATCAATGTAAGGAAAATTCTCAGGTCCAGCACCTCCCGGTCCGAACGTCATCCGAACACTGCCGTTTGGGATGATTCTGGGTAGAATTGTTTGATGAATTATTTTGAGCATGTTCCTCATCAAGTCTAGTTTATCCATACCAAATTTCAGCTCAAAATTCGATCGGGAAGGCAGTCAAATAATTCGTTGAAGTTAACTGCGTTTTTCTATGTATAATTTGGCGCAGTTAACTTCAATGAATTATTTGACTGCCTTCCTGATCGAATTCTGAGCTGATGAGGAACATGCTCAAAAAATTTCATCAAAAAAGTCCTCCGGGAACCGCTCCAAACGGCGGTGTTAGGACGGCGTACGGACAGAAAACTGCTGTAAAACACATATTGAAATCTGACATTAGATTTAATTTCAACTAAATATCTATACAAGAAAAATTATACTAAAATAAGATGTTAAAATTTACTTTAATATTCATCATATCTGTAGCACCGTCCCCAAGCATATTTACTTTTAGTAAATTATGTAATAAACCTTGAAAGATGATTTATGAATTTACGTAATTGTTAAATTTCATTATTTCTTTTACGTGAATAGTAAATTGCGTGTGGGGCCCACAGCGGGACCGGGGACCGCCCGATAATTCTTGAACCACAATTCAGATTCATCTTGGTCTAGATAATATGTATATGGTGGTGGATATTTTATTTGGGCCATAAGAAAGGCATGGAGTTGACCGGTTGGTCAAACGGGACCCAATTACCGGTATTGGTAATTTAGCGGATAACATCCCAAAATGAGTTTCGGAGACTCCTAAATTAATGTTGGGGAATGTACATCTATTCTAAAGGCCCATAATTATTAGGAACGCGTGATATAATTTATCCGACCCGATAAAATAAAATATGACTAAAATAGTCCGAAAAATACAACTTTCGGGGTCGATTGTACATACCGGGACATAATGGGATGACCTCCCACATGAGTGGGGGCCACCCCACGTTTTTAGGAGTGCTGAGTGACCAAACAACATGGGAAGGATGGATGATGGAGATGGGAAGCCTCATAGAGACAAAAACCCACACCCCATGTCCCATTCTTTGGTTTATCTTGAGGGTGATTGTGTGGAGGTACTCCTCCCCTATCCCTTGCATTATTTTCGGCCAGAACAAGGAGGAGGAGCTCCAGGGAAAAACCAAAGCTCAAGCCTTAGTTGGAGGGGGAGAAAAGCTAGGAAAAATCCGCAAGAAATAGTTGAGTTCAAGGTAAGAACTCCACAACTATTAGTTAACTAGTTTATTGTCGTATGATTTTTAAGAAATCATATGGTGGATTAAAAATGATGTTCTACACGTTTAAAAGTGTAGAATATTGACATAAAGTGGTGGTATTTAACTTAGAAGTGTTGGTGAATCGATAGGAGTCGAAATCGCCGGAAACCGCCACATATAGGGAGCTGTTCGTAGTTGCAGACTACGAAAGCCGCCCGGCTTTCGTGAAAGCCGCCCGGCTTTTGCCCAGCAGTTCAGTTTTACACCTTCATTCGGCTTAGAACGGGGATTGATCGAGGGGCTTAGCAAAGGCAACTATTTCAGCACTTCATAAGGTGAGGATGGCTGACTATGTTGCTTATAATTAGTGAGTTAATTTCATGAGATTACCGAAGGTAATTAAATGTGTTTTTATGGATTATTAATGATTAATAATGCCTAAAAATGAAAAGACTAAATGTCTAAGGAAAAAGGAGCATGATATACAAATTTAAGAGTAAATTGTGTATGATCATGTGTTATGAATAGGTTGACTTGAAAGTGGAATTAATTACCAAACATATGTTGAAATATACTTTCTCTTCATATTTGAATATATGAGTGATTAAAAGTGATAGTTTGGATATTGAGATAAGTGACATTTTCAAAGGAAAATCAGTTGGAATTGTCTATATGACTATGAGTTGAGAACTTGGTTTAATGGTATGAATTTGACTAGTATTAAGATACTAGTTGGACATTAAAATGAAATGTTGTTAAGATTGATCCTAAGAGTGGATTGTGAAATGTTATGCCTTAAGTAGTCCTAAGAGATGCTTTAAGGTAGGAAAGTATGAACTCTAAGTTATACTAGGGGTAGGCCTTAAGGGATACCCAAGATAAAGTAAGTAATAAATTGATCCTAGGTATAGGATTGGCCTACGGGTGTGTTCGGTAGTCCTTGTGGATAGCCGGTTGAATTATGGAAATAAGTAAGGACCATGGTCCTTCCCGACTCTAGAGAGCGGGGTTGGATAGCATGGACTTACATCGTGATCACGGGTTAGGGTGGAATCCGAATCGGAGACCTAACTAGGTTCCGGTAGCGGTAACACATAAGATAGGACCCCGAAGGGCCTTACCTTCCTACGGGATGATGAGTATGAGTCCAGGGGCGGGATGTTGGAGTCCGAACCGGGAGCCTCATGAGGTCTCGGACAGCGGTAGCAAGTCCCGTAGAAATAATAAGACCCAAGGATTGGGTTGTGCAAATGATAAATGAAAAGGAATATATAAGAAGGGTCGTGTGTCGTTAAATAAATGAATTTACTTATTATAAAGATAATAAGTGGGAAATATAAATTATTGTTTATATTATGGTATCACCCTATTTTGAGGGTCTTGGAAATTAAAACGTTGATTATACTTAGTATAGTTGCTATTGTACTTGTCAAATGCTTCCAAGTACTGACCTCCCCTTCACGGGGGAGGCCACCTCACAGTTTCAGGTAGAACGTGAAGGTTGCTACCATTGCCCGTTGCTTCGGGGGGATCAAGGGAAGAATACGTGGTTCGTGCTTCTTCCGTTCTGTTTTAAAAACAATTGCGCTAATGCTCATGGATACTATTTTCTGAATAATTACTTTGGGGGCTTGTTTGCCTAGTTATGCCAAATGTGGCTTGAACAATTGTATTAATGCTTCCGCTGTTTTAATTGCATGTTTTACATTATGGTTGTTTATGGATGTACTATGTGTGAATGATATTCATGACGCCTTGTATAATATGGATGAGTTGGACTGCGGTTGACTATTCGTACTGTACGGTGGGTTGTTGACGTGTCCGGCTAGGTCCGGGGCGTGACAATTTAATTGGTATCAGAGCCTTAGTCCGTAAACATCATAATGAAGCTTCAAAATTCTTTTTGAAAATGAAATTTAAAACCATGAGCATAAGAAGTTTTGTACTTATAGAACTTTTGGTGCTTGAGTTGCAATGTCTCTAGTTGTTAAGATGGTACCCTTAGCAATTGGTATGACGGTGATTTGAGCCAAAAGATGTCTTAGCAATATGTATATATAACTATGTTCAAGTAGATAGGGATGGAAAAGTTAATAAATACTCAAACGAAGTCATATTATTTATAAATGTATATTATTTATAAATATGTAGGGATACTATCTTCAAAACTATGTATATATAACTATGTTCAAGTAGAGATATGTATATATAAATGTATATTATTTATCGTAAACTAGATAGATAGGGATGGAAAAGTTAATAAATACTCGTAATAAATATCTTCATTAAAAATATGTTCAAGTATTCAAACAAGTCTGAAATTAACTCGTTTATCTCACAGCCCTATTGTTTGATCAGACTGTTACAACTATTTTTTCGAAAAGATTTTTACTTCTCTTAACCAAAACGAAGTCATATTGTGTTATCGTGGGGTCTTGTGCAGTGTTAGTGCTACAAATAGGGATGGACTGGGCCGGGCCGAATCGACCTGGAATCGAACCGGCCCTGTACTGTTTGGGACCGGCCCGGCCCTGTACTATTTATATAAAGTAGATATATAAATAATAAATATAATATATTGGAGAATAAGAGAGTAGAGAGTTAAGAATAGGATTTAGGAAGAATTGGAGAAGAGATATGAAAAAATGTTTAAGATTAGGAGTATTTATAGGTTTTTTTACCCCCACCCCCCACCACCACCACCACCCCACCACCCAACCCCCCCGGACTCTCCCTTTACCCCACCCAACGGCTATATAGTCGTTTGGGTTGTCCCCAGCCACACCCCCAACGGCTAGTAGCCCACTAGCCAAGACCCAAAAAAATATATTTTTTTTAAATTAAGACCGGACCCAGGCCCGGGCCCGACCCGGCCGGGCCGGGTCACATTAATCCAGCACCGAGCCCGCCCCGCCCAATCCCACCGGTTCGGGTCCATACCCGGTCCCGGACCGCCCGACCGGGCCGGTCCCGGGCCCGCACAGTGCCGGGCCGGGCCGGGTCACGGGCCGGGCGGCCCGAACCGAATCCAACCCTAAGTTTACCCGGTTGGACTTTGCATGGAGATTTTTAAAAAATATGAAAATGTTAGCATTTGTTTAGAATGGAAATAATCCATATCAAACATACGAATCTTTGCTTACAATGAAATGGGATGACTATTGGAGACTAACCATAAGGGGGAGACTGGTGGTAATAAAAAGCACAATGAGTTCTTATAATGTTATATCAAAAGAAAAGTAAGACATTTTAAAAAAACTTAGCATAACTTACTGGAGGTATGGTTCGACTCGGGTCGGGCCACCCCGCCCGTGGACCGGCCCAGCCCGTTACTGTGCGGGACCGGGACCGGCCCGGTTCTCAGGTCCGGGTCCGGGTCGGGCCTAGGCCCAGGGGGTAGGGCGGGTCCAGGCTAGGGTCTCAAATTTGGTGAACCGGCCCGGCCGGGTCGGGGCCGAGCCCGAGCCAAATTGAATTTTTTTTTTCATTTTTGAGGTTCCACCCGGGTTGGGCTTGATGGGTAGGATGGGTTTGGGGGGGTGGGGGTGAGGGGGGGGGTTAGGAAAGCAAAAAAAAAAATCCAAATCGGAGGCCCGGCCCGCCCCGGCCCGGACCAGGTGGCTACCTGGGCCGGTCCCGGGTCCACCATTCCTGAACTGCCGGCCCGCCTAAGCCTATGTCTGACCCGGACCCGAGTCCACCCCTAACTGGATGTATCAAGTTCCGTGTGGTGCAATAGTGTGGAGATGAAAAACAATAGCTAAAACAAGTGCTTGTGCATGAGGAACTAGAGGTACTTAGTGGATGAACGCAGTTTTCTTTCAAAAATTATTTGACGACATTCCCGGTTGAATTTTTTGCTCAAATTTGGTATGGATCAACCAGACTTTATGAGGAACATACACAAAAAAATTCAGCCAAAAATACCACCAGTTCTCAGGGGTTCTCACGGTTCTCACTAGAACCCTCCCCAATATATATATATATATATATATATATATATATATATATATATATATATATATATATATATATATATATATATATATATATATATATATATATAGGCATGGACCGGTTCCGGTTTGGGCCCGGCTGGGCCTCGGTTCAAGAAGGGGAGGCCCGGAACCGGCCCGGGTAAACCCCGGGTCCGGGCCGGGCCGAGCAGGTCCGGGCCGGGCCGAGCAGGTCCGGGCCGGGCCGAGCAGGTCCGGGCCGGGCCGAGCAGGGCCGGGCCTCGGTTCTATTTTTATTTTATTTTTAGCTTTTCCTAGTTAACCCCCAACCCTCCCCCTCACCCCCAAACCAACCCTAACCACCTCAAATGGCCCAAAATACCCAACCCAACCCAAAAACTTAAAAAAATTTCAAAAACAATAAAATAAAATAAAAAAATTGGCCCGGCCCGGGCCCGAACCGGCTGGGCCGGTTCACCTTTTGAAGGGCCCGAGCCCGAACCGCCATCCCACCGGGCCGGGCCCGCACAGTAGCGGGCCGGTCCGGTTCCGGGCCGGTTGGCCCGGCCCGAGTCCACCCCTATATATATATATACACACATATATATATACACACATATATATACATATATATATATATACATAATTACATATATATATACATATATAATTATATATATAAAGAGTGCAATGTTTTTATTAGAAAGAAATACTACCTCCGTCCCGAAATCCAAGTTCCCATTCATTACTCTATTGATCACTTTTAAATTTAAATTTTCTGAATATGTTAATTTTATTTACTAAAATACTATGAGTGTGAACATGGATCGAGTTTCTTTATCGTCACTCAAACCTCGTAAACAGCAACAAGAACTTCTTTATGATTTTAATTTTCTATATTCAACAAGTTTAGTCAATTCAGTCTCATTAGTCATCATTTCAACAATTCAACCATTTTAGCAGAATTGGTAATTCAGTTAACGTAATACGTAGTATCTAACAACATATACAATCAAACTTTCTATATGAACAATATTTTTCCAAAAATCATGTCAAAAATAATCTTATTCAGTGTGAGCAACCAGTCAATCACTAAGGCAAAGTTTGACGAATAACCCCACAACTTTAGCGTGGGGATCATTGATTGAATGAACAATCAAGAAAGGCCAATCATGTTAGAGAAGGATCATTATTGATTGTCGCAGCCAAAAACTTCATGCCAAATTCAATCTGGTTTGTAAGCTCTCCCGCATTAAATGGCTGGTCTTTACCAGAAATTATACGCCTTCTTAAGATTGTAAATCCACAATAGTCTACCTCATACACAGTAGCTCCTGTCACGGCTGCATACACAGAGCCTACTCCTTCCCCTGGGTAAGCAAAAGAATAGCTAGCTAAAAACATTTGAAGTAGCTTTTTGAAGAATTTAGTTGTGAAAAATGTTATTATGGATGATATATAGAACTTATTTGAGCAAAAATGATTGCCCAGCGCATAGAAAAATGTAAGTTCCAACCTCCAATATGATACCAACCCAGAATTTAAGTGGTCCAACTCAAATAGAACCTAATAATGACTGCTTAACTACTGTGTATTCCTAAGTTCCAACCTCCAAAATGATAGTCCTGGCTCAGCCACTGCTTGTAGCCAGCTCACTCATTACAACAAATTAAAGTTGCACTTGACTCGAGATGAAATGTATGCATAATTCAAGTTGAAATTCAAATGGTTTTGACCATAGTTTTACAATGTACAAGAGTATATATCTAATGCAGTGAGCTGCATTATTTAACAATATCGGAACTAAAAAGCAACAATTATAGAACCATTTGTGTATCTCATCATCGGAGTTTACAAATGAAACTCCTTGAACTCATAATCCCTGATTTGTAGGTAAAAAAAGTTATAATGGCCTAAAAGTCGCAAACAACGAAACTTACCATGCGTCACAAGCAACAAGTTTTCAGATAGGTATTTATCAGCGAGTGCCTTAGCAACCTCCATATACCGAACCCTTGCAGCTGCCACGGGCTCTTCCCAATCCGGTAGCTATAGTTAGTATACAAAAGCAAAATCTCCTTCAGCCAACCGAACAATATAGAATCAGGGCATGGATATCTATTGAGCAGAAAGTACCTTCTTGTAGATGTTTTTTGCATTTTGATCTATAGTTCCACTTGGCAACTGAGCTTCACATTCCGAGATGTTGAACTTAAAATCCCCATCCTTTGGTGCCACATTAGCTCTTATGGCTTGTGTGTTCAACATTTCACATAACCCCATTTCAACGGAAGCCTGTAAGATGTGCAAAACAAAACACTAATTACCACCCAAGGAATGACAAAAATATCTGCAATCACAAACCCCTGATGCTTGTTCCCAAAACCTGTACACCCTTTCAGATTCATGGAGAGTATTAACTCAAGTTCAAACAAAAGTTACTCTGTACATTTTACTGTACTACAATGCTAGTTAGGCAGCTAATAGGAACTTTTCCATACCAGTGTAAAAACACATCACCATTATCTCATCATCCAAGTTAAGCATCATCCAAGAAAAATAGGAAATCATGAGAGGATATAAACCACTGATAAGATAAGTCCCCATTAAAGCATCCATTAATGAATTAGGAACTTATAGCTTATCAAAGGTCTGATCAGATCATAAGAGGACCCTGATCCTCTTAACAACCAGTCCTTGGGGATAATGAAGTAAAGTTGGCTGGTTAAGATTACTGAAGAGGATAGATCTATAATAAGGCCCAAAAAACGAGGGTTTATGTATAGGGAATGATGTGAGTTTTCTCGCACTTAAAAAGATTGTGGAATAGCGGTGAAAGTACGAGTATCGTCTCCACAGGGACGGTAAAAAAAGGGAATTAAAGATTAACTAAATTCAGCGATTAAAAATAAAATAAAATAAATGCGTCGTGCGAGATTGATTGGTTGAATGGGAATTAAACTAATGCGATTGAGCGAATAAAAGTAAAGGTTTGGGTTCTTCTTAATTAACAACGAAGGGAACAAAGATTGATTTGGGGTAATCAGATTTCTGGCAGATCAGACCTAATTACATGAATTTAATTTAATTGAGCCTAGCTAATGAATACTAGGTTCTTACCGCTCTCGCGGCGTAGAGTACAATATGTTAGGGGACCAGGTTGATCTCTCATGCGACAGGATCCTAAATTATTGCCAAGACGAGCGAGCTTACGGCCCCTTAATCGCTACTAATCTCTTACCGAACGATTAAGTGTATGTGAATGTGTCCTAGAATAAACTAGATCTCTCTTAATTTATTCTACAAATAATTGTAATTCTAGCCGCAGTTCCAGATTACAAAAGATAACAGTTAAATTATTCAAACACAAATTAAACGGCATTCATGTAATCAAACAATCAAGAAACTAGCCATACATCATGATAAACCCCTTCATCAACCCCAAATCCCTAATTAAAACTACTCCCTACTCATAATTGAAAAATCAATAGAATTGGGAAGAATAGAATTAATTGTCATTAATCAAAAAGTATGAACTTACAAAGAATGTTAAGGAAATGAAAAACCTGGCTGAAACTCTCTAATTTTCGTCCTTAATAAGCTCTCTAAAGTCCATCCCCCTCATTAGGGTTATGGAGGTGTTAATTAAAGGAAAAGGTGGAATTTGGGTAGAATTAGGACAAAACGGGGTGAGGCACGGAGCCAGGCACGACCGTGCCTGCGGAAGCATCCCGTTTAAACGCGTCCAGGCACGGCGTGCCTAACCGCCAGACACGACCGTGCCTGGGTTCCAGTAGCTCATCCGCTTCATTCCAAGGCACGCACGGCGTGCCTAACGCCGGGCACGATCGTGCGTGACCTTATTCTTCACTTTTTCTTCGTTTTCTTGTTAAACTACATCTTTGTACTCAAGTTAAACTATTTGACGAAGTACTCACAATATCCTCGAAGTAATGACAACATAACACAAATAAGCTAATTATTAATCAGAAAGACTTGTGAAAGTGATGGTGAATGGATAAAGACAGTCTCTATCTTTTGATAGATTGGAATATTCTAACAAAGACTCGATGCATTTAGGAACTTCAGGGCTATTCTTAGGATCAAGGAACTCAGAAGAACACAGTTTTAGGAACAATCATCTAAACCTCTGCAAAGAGCAGACATGGTGTACAACTAAGCTAAAACCGCCGCGGCACATTGGTGCTTTGACGTATACTTGAAGTACGCGGAGGACTAAAGCTAATTTTTGCAATAGCCTCCAAGTTCATTAATTAAGTGTAGTTTTCCTTGTCATGTTAGCACGAGAACGTCATTTTTTCGAAAGATACCCAAGTCTCATCTTATTGTGCAAAACACTTACGCTTTTTGACCAGGGCTCCCATTCTTTTTTTCGCAAGATAAGAGGTCTAGCTATATTAATTTTTCACCTTTCGGATTCTCACTAGACATTACCCTTATTCTAATCTCGGTCTCACCAAGGAAAAAAATAGCAATTAAAGTTCAATTAATTTAGAAGTGAATCCATGCCTACAATGCAATCCTCGAAAGTATCAAATTCCGAAACTATCATGCTGCTCTCCTCCTGGTGCTGCTTGGTCAGCCTCTTGGTGAAGTCTAGCCCCAAGTCCCGTATTCATGGACGGGAGTGTAGTGAGCGGAAAAAAACTAGAAGAGACCTCCATATCTCTGAACCGGTCTCCATATCCCATCTCACGCAAAATACGTGTAATGTACGGACCAGAAAAAAGGGGCTGAATGTGGTTTGTGGACTGGCGATGGAACAGGCTAGCAATGATGGAGCCCATGCAGGGCTTCTTGTTGTGAACCATGCAGTAGAGGCACAACAGGTTAGTCGCAGTTCTCTGACATTGCCAACTATCTTGTTGGGGGTGTTGTTCCTTCTGATTATACACCTCATCAACGAAAGAAATTTTTTGCTGCTCTGAAGTATTATTTCTGGGAGGAACCATATCTGTTTCGTATTTGTGCTGATCAGGGTTTTAGAAGATGTGTTCCCCTTTGTGAAGGAGCTGAAATTCTTAAACATTGTCACTCCGGACCGACAGGGGGACACTATTCTTTCAACCGGACAGCCCGTAAGGTCTTGGAATGTGGTTTCTTCTGGCCCACTTTGTTTAAAAATGCTCTAACTTTTGTGCAGGAATGTGACAGGTGTCAACGCACCGGGGCGGTAACCAAGAGGGATGAGATGCCCCAAAATTTTATATTGGCTTGTGAGGTATTTGATGTTTGGGGCATTGACTTCATGGGACCGTTTCCGGGTTCTAAAGGTAACAAATTCATTCTTGTTGTTGTGGATTATGTTTCTAAGTGGGTTGAGGCCGAAGCTCTGCCCACGAATGATGCTAGAGTTGTGATTCGTTTTCTGAAGAAATTGTTTTCTGGATTTGGAGTGCCGCGAGTGTTGATTAGTGACAGGGGCACCCACTTTAGGAATGATCCCATGACACGCCTTCTGGCAAAGTACGGGGTCACTCATAAAGGGGGCGTCCCATATCACCCTCAAACTAGTGGCGAAGTTGAGAATTCGAACAGGGATATTAAGACCATCCTTGAAAAGACTGCCGAGACCCATAGGAAGGATTGGTCTGATAAGTTAGATAAGTTAGGTGCGTTGTGGGCATTGCGTACAGCGTATAAGACACCCATTGGCACTACTCCGTTTCACTTAGTGTATGGGAAGGCTTGCCACCTTCCGGTAGAGATTGAGCATAAGGCCTACTCGGCCTTGAAAACGCTGAATAAGGATCTTTCTTTGGCGGGTCGTGAGCGGCTTTGGAAGCTCAACGAATTGGATGAGTGGAGGCTTATGGCCTATGAGACTCTAAAATTAGTAAGGAGCGTACTAAAGCCTATCACGACCGGCATATCAAACAGGGCAAGGAATTTCGTAAGGGGGATCAAGTTCTGCTGTTCAATCCTCGAATGAAAATTTTTAAAGGAAAATTGAAGTCTAGGTGGTCCGGCCCTTTTGTAGTGAGCGAAGTTTTTCCATACGGTACAGTTGAGATAGACCATCCTGAGAAAGACCGTTTTAAAGTTAACGGCCACCACCTGAAGAAGTACTACGGAGGACCGCTAGACCGCGAACGTGCGGTGACTGTCATCACAGATTTTGAGAGATGAGTGCGTAGTTGCGTCGGGCAAACGACGTTAAAAATAGTGCTTCTCGGGAGGCAACCCGAGCTTAAATTTTGCTTCTTTAGTGTAGTTACTGCTTTTCAAAAACCCACAAATAAACGTTTTATGCAATTCGAGGCAGGCACGGTCGTGCCTATCGCCAGGCACGCCTTGCCTGATAGTACGTTTCAAGGGATTTGCTACTGGGAGCCAGGCACGGTCGTGCCTGGAAGTCAGGCACGCTGTGCCTGATATGATGGTACGAAAGAAGCTACTGGAGGCCAGGAACGGTCGTGCCTGGCGAAAATTTCGAATTTACCCCAGCGTAAAACATTATCCCACACCCGTCAGCCCATTCTTCCTTACGCGCAACAACAACCCAGAGCTTTCCCCTTCTACCCGCGACCGAAGAAACCGACGACCACCGCACCCCCCTCTCTCTCTCCTCAACTCCAAACAAGGTAATTTTCTTCTTCCCTCTTCTTCTTTTCTCCATTAATGGAGGGTTGAAGCTTTGAATGTCCAAATTTGCATGTGCTTGAAAAATAGGGATTTTAATTTCTTTGTTCAAAATAGAGGCTTGTTTTGATGCTTTTGATGTTCCATGTTGATGATTTTGCCTCTAGTTGATGAAATCCCTACTTTTTGAGTTAACTTTGCCAATTTAGGGTAAACTTTGCCAAAGTGACCATAATTTGGGTTTTTTTTATGTCTTTGTTATCTATGAGGTTTAATGTGAGCTTGTGATGATCAGGCTTGTCACGGCGTCGCCTAGGCGTCGCCTAGTCACCGACTAGGCGTCCTGGCGCTAGGGACAGCTCGCCAGAATTACTCGCCTCGCCGGAAGAAGAAAAGGCGTGCCAGGAATCGTCCAGGCGTCGTCCACGCGTGATGAAGGCGACAAGTCGGTGACTTCTTCCCAAGTCGAACAGAACCGGCCCGCAAAGCGCAAGCCCAGATTACCCAGAATCCCAGATGCGAAATAAAATAGATTTTAGGAAACTAATTTTAGGAAACTAATTTGATTAATTAACTATAAAGCCCAGACTCCTTAATTATTAAACTTACGAAATACGATTATAAGAAGCGGACAAATTCCCACTTTCCAGAAATCCAGAAGCAGACGAAACACTCCAGGAAGAAGAGGTCTT